AGATCTACTGTACTCAGCAAAACGCGCACACAAGATCCGAATTTTCAACACTAGTTCAGTCAACTCAATGCTCCTGTATAGTTGAGAGACTTGGCGCGTTACAAAAAGCATTCGCAACAAACTACAGATATTCATCAACAGCTGCCTACGCTCGTTACTAAATTTCAGATGGCCGGAAAGAATAAGCAACGAGGAACTCTGGCAACGAACCTACTAAAAACCCTATGCGCAACAAATCTACAGAGGAGAAAGTGGAGATGAATTGGATTGGGTATACACTGAGAGGGCCGATTGGGGACATCACGCGCCAGGCACTCCGGTGGAAGCCGAAGGGAAACGACGAGTTGGGCGTCTGAGGCCTGGGTGATATGGAGGAGATCAGGTAAGGAAGAAATGAAAGCTTGTAGACAGTCGTGAAGTGAGGTTCAGAAGACTGAAGAGAAGAGAGTGTGTAGAGGTGTGCTAGTGAAGCTCTATGTTCCACTAAGAACCCAATGGACAAACAGAAAAATGATATATATATATATATATATATATATATATATATATATATATATATATTTGGATAACCTCGCCTGGTTAACTAGTTCACTAGTTACTAAGTGGTCGTAAGCCCGGGTAAAGGCGGAAGGTTAGGCATAGGGCTAGGAACCCTACCCCGTAAAACAAATCTAACCGCTAAAGAAACTTCAAAGCACAAACGAAATGTAAAAAATAAAAACAAAATTATTCCTCGCTGGAATCGGAGAGGCGAAATGACGCCAGTTGGTGGAAGCCTTCAGCAAGCCAATCGGCCGATGTGTCTTCTCTCGATGAAAGCGAAAGTAAACGTGGGGATATGGAATGTCCGTACGATGTTTGAACCCAGCAAGGCAGCCCAGATTGCAAAAGAGATGAGAAGGTATCACATCGAAGTGCTTGGGATTTGCGAAAGCAGATGGAATGGGAGTGGACTCTCCAAGCTGTCAACTGGCGAATCAATAATCTACTCCTGTCACCCAGACGACAACCACGAGCACACTGAGTTATGGGGTGGCTATCATGATGTCCCCAAGAGCATCGAAGGCTCTCATGCAGTGGGAACCAATCTCCTCCAGGATCAGGGTCATGACAGCAAGATTCAACTCAAAAGGAAGGGAGGTGACAATCATACAATGCTATGCACCTACAAATAATGGAGATCAAGAGAAAAAGGAGGAATTCTACAGACAACTTCACTCAACACAGAACAGGACACCGCCTCAGTTGGCGATATCTAAATTCTAATGGGCGACATGAATGCCAAAGTGGGAGCAGACAACACAGGAAGAGAACTAACCGTGAGTCGAGAAGTGCTCGGTGAGGTGATGAACGAGAATGGTGAATTGTTTGCAGAATTCTGTGCATTCAACGATTTGGTAATTGGAGGCACTGTGTTCAAGCTCAAGGATATCCACAAAGCGATATGGATTTCACCAGACACCAGGACACACTAAAAATCAAATCGACTTTATCTCAATCTCAAGAGGATGGAGACACAGTCTACTTGACACAAGGTGAAGAAGAGGAGCAGATGTAGGTTCAGACCACTCACCATCTAGTGCAAGGAACCTTCAAAATCGAGTTGAAAGCCTTCAAGGAAGCTGGTGATAAACCACAGTTCAAATACAACACCCGGAAACCGAAGGATGAAACTACAAAGGACATCTTCACGTTAGCCATCAAGACAAAATGGGAGACATCGAGCAACATCCCTGAAGGAACCTGTGTGGAAGAACGCTGGAAGTCTTTGAAAGCTATGTGGAAAGAAACCTGCACAACCGTATTAGGAAGGAAGAAGAGGTGAGACAAGGAATGGATCTCGACAGACACATGGAAGCTGATAGATGAGGGAGAGGAGGATGGTGAAGCAGAAGAGAAACCAGTGCAAGGATGCTCAACGACAAGAGGAACTGAGCACAATGTATAAAACACTGGACAAAGAAGTGAAGAAGAGTGCACGCAAAGACAAAAGACACTTCTACGAAACACTGGCAAGTGAAGCAGAACAGGCTGCAGGTAAGAGAGACCTGACGACATTGTATCACATAACCAGGTTTCTATCTGGGAAGAGATCAACACACCTGAAACCGATAAAAGATGATGACGGAAATTTAGTTACGAAAGAATAGAAACAAAAGAAACAATGGGCCGACCACTTCAAGAAGCTCTTGAATCGACTACCACCTGCACTTCGTCCAAAATACCACCTGCAGCCCAGCTACAGAACTACAAGTGAACATAAATCCTCCAACAAAAATGGAAGTCGTGAACGCCATAAAGCTACTGAGATGTGGGAAAGCAGCAGGACCAGATGGGATCCCGCCAGAACCACTGAAAACAGACAAAGAGACAACAGCAGACATGCTCACACCACTATTGCAGAAGGTCTGGAAGGAAGAGAAGGTACCTGGCTAGTGATTGGAAGAAGGGTTACCTTGTCAAACTGCCGAAGAAGGGAGACCTCAGTGTTTGCAAGAACTGGTGAGGAACCACTCTCCTGTCCACCCAGAGCAAGCAAAATATTAAGCCGCATCATCATGGAGAGGCTTAAGGATGCACTGGATTCAAAACTACGACCAGAAAAGGCAGGCTTCAGGAAGTACAAATCATGTGCGGACCAAATTGCAATGCTTCGCATCATCACAGAACAGAGTATACAATGGCAGTCGACTCTAAACCTCAACTTTATCGACGTTGAGAAGGCCTTTGACATCGTCGACTGAGAAGTAATTTGGAAACTGCTTCATTACTACGGAGTACCGCAAACCTTTATCCGCCTCATTCAACAACTATATCAAGACGCATGCCACATGCCAAGTAATTCACAATGGGAAGCTCAGTGATGCTTTTGAAGTGAAGACAGGAGTGAAACAAGGTTGCCTGCTATCCCCTATGATATTCCTGATTGTGGTCGACTGGACTGGATCATGCAGCAAACAGTGGGGAGCGAGAAGAGGTGGATACGCTGAACTGTGGAAAAGAACCTAGAAGACTTGGATTTCGCCGATGATGACTTGTGCCTGATGTGACACAAACATGAAGATCTACAGGCGAAAACTAACAAGTTGACAGAAGAGGCAGCGAAGACAGGACTTCAAGTGAATTTAGAGAAGACAGAGGTGATGAAGATACCGCACCACCAACAACAACAAACTCCAATCACCATCAACGGGTGAAACTTAAAGGAAGTAACCTCCTTCACCTATCTAGGCAGCACTGTTTCAACTACAGGCGGCACAGGCACAGACGAGGATGTCAAAGTCAGAATCGGAAAAGCAAGACAGGCGTTCATTGGCCTGAAACCAGTGTGGAGATCTTCTGCATTGCACTCAGCATGCGGAACAAGATACGGATTGTCAACACCAACGTCAAGTCAGTGCTTCTGTATGGCTCAGAGACTTGGCGCGTCACGAAAGGGATTTCCAATAAACTACAGACATTCATCAACAACTGCTTACGCTCGCTACTGAAGATCAGATGGCCAGAATAATAAGAATGAGCAACAAGGAGCTCTGGGAACGAACCAACCAAGAACCTATCGCTCAACAAATATGCAGGAGGAAGTGGAGATGGATGGGGCATGCACTGATAAGGCTGACAGGGGACATCACGCGTCAGGCCGTCGAGTGGAATCCCCATGGGAAGCGACGAGTTGGACGTCCGAGGGTGACATGGAGGAGGTCGTGCGAGGAGGAAATGAGAGCTTGTGGGCTGTCGTGAAACCAGTTTCAAAAGATCTCAGAGAACAGAGGTCACTGAAGACGTGCTACTGAAGCCCTACGTTCCACTAGGAACCCAAGGGACTAATGATAATGATAATAATAATAATAATAATAATAATAATAATAATATATGTGACATGCATTTAAACTTGGCTAACAAATGAACCCGTCACTGTCATCCATTAGTTTCTTACCCTAGGTTTATGTGTGTGTGTGTGTTATCATTTACCACAGATGAGGTCATTTTATCAACTCAAACAAAAGTGTTCTCCTTATTCTGGTAGCTGATTGGTGATTTGAAAAAGATATGTTTGGACTACGCTTATGCATATGTTTGAAGATATTGGGTATGAGAAAATAACAGCTAATCAGTGGTTAATCACTGCAACATGTTACAAAGGTTAACAGTTTTTGATTGATGCGTGTACCCCATCTCTAACTTCAACACTACGCATAATTTGTTTACCTAAATAATGTTTCAGTTATAAATGTAAGGATTTATCGGCAATACACCCTTGACCAATGCTTACTGTGTGTTGATTCTCATCCCTTAGGCTTTCTACTGGCTGAATTCTGAAATCTGACAGTAAAATACAGAACACCGTGTCACATCTCTTAGCTTATTGACTGCACTTTAAACTCGATTGGTAGATTTCGGTAAGTGCTAGACACTTGGGGTTGTATAGCTGGATCGGTTACTTCCTACTGGCCAATTAGAACACTTTATTTACTGGGTACAATTCCGGGTAGAATTTATTTTTCATAACCACATAATCACACAACTTTCAAACTCCACTTTTATAGTCCAACATTTTTTCAGTCTTTCATTTTGATGGTAGGAAAATGAATGAATGAAAAACTGCTGAACTATAAAAGTGACACTTGTCAACCAGGTATATCTGAAATCTTGAAAGTACTCATGCTTCTTTTATCGATGTGCATTCACGTCACTCAGTCCTATACGAGCTGTTTATATTGTCGATTCAACCTTTACTATCTCATGAAGTATTTGCTGAAAGTTCAAAAGAGGCTGAGTCTTTGCCTCATGAGGAACCGTTTATTAATTTTAAGGCTCTGCGTTCATTGAGACATCGATATTTCCACAACCCACTTGATTTACGGTGTGCAGATAATTTGGTGATATTACTGATAATAAGCAAGAGTTGTAGCACAGCATTTTAAAATTTCAATATCTTATAAAGATGTAAAATACTTTTAAAATGAATATTCTTCCAACTCTTATCTTACTTTCTTTAGGGTAAGACTTCAACTGAAGTGACCCAGTCAAAACAAAGTAAGAAATCTCCTAAATCTCAGAAAGCTGTTAAATCAAAACGTACACGTTCGGCTAGTGGATCAGAATCAGATACAAGTACAATACAAGGCGAAACAAAGTCTTTGCTAGGTGATCCTAATGAGTTTATCTTACCTGGATCACTCAAAGCTTTACAGAGAGAACAGGTATGTTGATGGTTACCTGTTCCAAAATAATTGGATTTGATGTTAAAAATAACAAACGTTTGTGAAGTAGATTTGTAGTAAGACTTCTTTTTTATTGCAGAATAAGTATCATCTCAAGAAACCCGAGGGCTGACAGAGTTTCGACAGTGGTTGACACTTCCCGAATGCCTACACCATCCAAGAAGCTGACAGGATGCAGAGTCTTCTGAACACCTTGAGTGACAACTTGAGGATGTTTAGAATGGGTTTATCACCCTACAAATGTGAATGTTTGCTGCAGTACTGTACTTCACTGGTGCTTTGTTTAACAACGGGTTGTGAAAGGGTTGAGTGCATTGACTACTTCACAAACCTCAGAAGTCAGGTCAGCCGTGGTCAGTCAGTGACCGATGAGAACTCTACACGTTTGATGTACTGATATAAGGTGTGGAAATTTAAACTTTAGTGTAATATTGCCAAGTATAATGTTTGTGTTAACTCCCTATTGTTCAGTGAGTGAGTTATTAGCTTGAGTAGCCAAAGAATTAGATAATATCGAAACATAATTAAAGTTGACCAGCTTCTCGTTCAGCATCACCTTTATAAATACTGCAGTTTGCTTTATGGATTGCATTTTCTTTATCTTCCAATTTTTATGCTTCCTTCGGTCAATAGAATGTGGGTACAAATGATATTTACTAACCAACTTTGCTGTGAACTGACATCATGTAACCGACTTTTGAAAATGAGAGGCACACAGCTCAGCTATTTTATAATAATTTGGAAATTCCTAGAAGTCAGGCTTAATGATGCACACACTGCTGTATTGTTGATTTCGAACCTACAATAATTTTAGAATTCCCAGACACCTAAAATTTTGCCTATTAAACAGAAAGATTAGCATAGAAATAAGCACTTTAAGTTGCCACAGGTTACCGCAGTATACAAAGTTAATGAAGGGTTTGGGAAAAGGAAACATATGAAGTATGAAGTAATACAATCAGTTTTAATAGGGACGACTTTTGACAGTTGACAGTGAATGGAGTTTTGGATAAATGTTCTTGAGAAAAGGAGCCTTATAATATTAATATTAATATATCTTTCAGAAGTGAAAACAGCTTCAGAAACCGAGTATACCTCAGTTAACTCGATAAAATACAAACTTATAAACATTGGATAACCAATCTCGCTGTCTAGTCCTTGGTGCTCAGCGTCGGTCAAGGTCTGTCAGTCGATTTTGCGTTGTGTATACTGATCTAAGTGATTCAACACTGTAGTGTACTTTCTTTTGGTATCAGGTGTAAGAAATGGGTCAACAGGAAGCCCAAGACCTAATTTTATGATTGCTGTCCTTCATCATCTATCAACGTCGAAAACTAAGAATCGAAAACCTACTTTTACTGCTCACTGATCACCAATTCACTAACTTAATCCAGTGATACAGTTGGTCAGTTTTGTCTTGAACAGTTAACTGGTAATTTTTTTGACTCTAGCACTGATCGATACAGATTTGAATCAATGAGAAAACATTGGTTTCTTCATGATAGGAGATCCATCTTGCGGATGAATGTCGACAAGTACGGAACCTATTCCAAACAAAGGTTCTAACCAACTGAATTCTAACACCATAATGAAGTCGCAATAAGTAGCTCTTTTTACTGGTGACTAAATTTTCATGTTAAACTGTTTCATAACAAGTACAAATTTATTTTGGGCGATGATTGAAGGTAAAATGAAAATCTAAAGCACGGCCGGATTCGAACTAGTGACTACCGGGTTTCCGGCATCTGGCCGGAAACGCTTCAACCATCACCCAGTATAAATACTAGCCTGTGAAACCATAGCTATCTCAGACAGTCAAAATGACAGTAAACACAAATTTATCAAGACTAAACAGTTTTATTGTCTTTATAACTTCATATCAAGATATTTTGTTGATCTTCAGGATTGAGTGTTCCTCAGCTGAGCTTTTGACCTCAATCTATGCATCCACATGCTTGCTTCGTCACCAGGAAGTCTCTTGAAGCTAGAATCAACCATACTTTTAGCATATGAAGGCTAAATTGAAGGTATAAGCTAGATGATATCATTCATCTTGTGTTCAGTAGTAATAATACTGCAATGAATCAAAATAAAGTTTTGTTTAGTTTTGTCACACTAAGCAATAGTTTTCAGAAATGTACAGCAGATTACTTCTGTTCTATATCACATGATGTTTTCCCAACAGCAATCGCATACTATAAGAACACCACAGCTAGGCTACGTACAGACCGTATAAATGGTAAAATGTATCAAATTCAGCATAGAATGACGTATTTCTGACGAGCTAATTGGTTTATGCACGCTAATAAATTTAGGGTTGTTAACGACCTGCGGAATAGGGGATGGCGAGTATGAAAACATTACATGACACGATTTGATAACGTATACGAATAAAACGCATTATTTAGCCCAGGTGTTATACGATTATGTTGCAGTCAAACATTATGCTTCGTTCTTCTTTTTTACACACAGGAAGTGATTAGGCTTAAAAAGGAAGCTGAAGAACGCCAGAAAGAAGAAAAACGTGCTAAGTCGGCTAAAAAGCAAGCTGAAAAGGAATCTATGCACAATCAGAAAAAAGAATCACCAGGCAGGCATGGTAAATCACCACGTTCCAAGTCACCGATGGAGAAGAAAGATCCGGATAATAACATAAATAACTTGCTGCAGTTAAAAATTGGTGAAAATAGTCCAGAATTTTGGCCAGTAGGTTGAAAGTATTTATTTCTTGGAGTTGCATAGTTAAGAGACCATGTTAATCACTAACAGATAAAGATAATCATACTTGTGAAACTTGTTCACTGAATAAGAGTTGGTATATTATAAATGAAATCTATTTGTCAAGTCTCAATGAGGTAGGAAAAAAATTTCTGACGTTTCGCTATTTCGAGGAAATCGCTTCTTCAGAGAATAAAACCTGTATAAGTTATCGACTCCTTAAATAGTAAATGGTGAGAAATCAGATCACTTTGTTCATACATAATAATAATATGGGCATAAATGTTTTAATGTTGGTCAGGATACTTCTGGAGTTCATGGTGATGTAAATGTGCCCACATGTATAGGAAAAAAAATACTTTAATGACAAATTTGATTTGTTTGTGTGCATATACTTTTGTTCTGAATATTGTATGTGACGTGCTATTTTAGATATACTGTTCAGGTTGGTTGGATCGTTAGGCCTTCCCTTCTGTTGGGTGCATTAGGACTCACTCAACATAATGTGAAATTCCTCAGCTATTCTTCTTTCTTTGTAGTTTGAAAAACCCTTTTGAATAATCTTTATATTTTCAATGTCTATTTTGTGACTGTGATAGGTGGCATGAACGCGATTGCCTACTTGATTTGTAAATTCTCTAATTCCGCAGGATTATTTAGCGGTCGTTTTGTGTAACTTGCATGTTCTTTAGCCCGAATGATATCATGGGATGATTCCCCAATATAATGGACCTCATAATCGACACAGCCTAATCTTTAGACAAAGTTCTGTGTGGAGGTAAGAGGAATTTTATCTTTTAAATGGACTGAAGCGTTTTTGAGTGTTGGTTGTCTTGCAAAAGGCTGTAATTCGGTACTTACTTAAAATCCTTTGTAGCTCTTCAGTTATCCCTTGGTGGAATGGTAGAACTACTTTACGAATCCACTAATCATCATTTGAATTTCCTCTTGGAACCCTCTGCTCATGTTTCTGAATCTTTTGAATGACATTCATAGGGTAGTTATTGGAATGTAATGCATCTAATATATTTCTTACTTCCGTTTGCCTGTCATCTTCATTCGTAATGCGCTCTGTGGTTCTCCTGAATAAGTTCCAAGCAAGTGGAAGCTTAGCACCTAGTGGATATGCTGAGTTAAAATCAAGATAATGATTTGAATGCGTTGGTTCGCAATGAATCGACAAACTCAGAGTTCCATTCATATCCCTTTTCATCACTTGTATTTTTATGTTAACACATGAATTTAATGTCTGGAGAATAGACATAAATTAGTTTCGAAAAAATTCTGAGGGCAGATGTTTTTAAAATTACAAATGTACCATCTGCGTATCTGAGCCAAATACATGTTTTGACAGAGTTAGAAAGGATGACGAATTCAGTGTGACATGAATACATTTTCAACGATAGGGGACACCGGAGAACCGATTGGTACTCCATTTGTTTTTCCACATAAATTTCGTCTAAACGCGGAAACTGTCGGACTAAGCAAAATTTGAGTGCTTTCATGATGCGGCTGGGGTTCAATGAAGATCTGTCTACCAGCGTGTGATTTCCCTCTAGCAATTTGCTTATGAACTTAAAATATTTTTCCATAGGAATACTAGTATACAGTTTAACAACATCATAAATTACCACTGTTTCATTCGGTGCAATAAATAATTCTGATATTCTTCAATTGGATTCATACGAATCTTCAGTTGAGCTAATAACAGAGCGTTAGAGAGGCCTTAGAAATGATGCTACCTCGTTGAGATTATACAAATATATATCATTTGTAATGCATTTGCCCAATGCTCAACTGATTCAACCTTATCAGGTCAAATTTTAATCTTGAAGTTTATAATGTTAGTATATTAGTCTGAGAAGCTAATAAAAACACGTATAGGATTACTTAAGATGTAAGTAATCTACTTGAAATCAGATGCTATGGCTTCACAAATAGGTGGAAAGTATTCGGTTACATCTTGGTGCCTAAAGTAGTTCTAGGTAAACGCTACCGTATCCCGTTCAGTGTGTTACTCAGTATCTCATGGCACCGATACATAACGTCGTTTGCTGGTTGTCATATTGAGTCTTGTCCATAGACAAGCTTTTTGGTTGAAATGGGAGAAATTAATAGATAAAAAACGGAAAGTGACATTTCAAATCGATTGCAGTCGTACTTCGGAGTTTGCTGTTTACCTTCTTGAAAATACTAAACAAATTGTTAGTTCCTTACATCTTGTTTGCATTCATTCTCTGATAAGTCAGTATAAATTTCCATCGTTTTACTGAGTATCTTTTAGTTTTGTAAACAAGTATGACAACTTGAACTGGTCCGTAATCAAACCAGAATTTAGGCTGTGTAAGTTGGTCTATATATCTAACGCCTGAAGAGAATGACAGTAGTCATTAATTTCATTGTTTTGAGATGGAGTTTGTATCATCTATTTGACGCTTTTTATCCTGTCCTAATGTTTTCCGATTACAGTTTGTGGGCTATGATGTTTCCAACTTATTACCGCATTTAACTGGAGAAGTTACCCACATGTTTCCAACTGATGGAGGCACAATTAAAACGCAAAGAAGTGAAATACCGACAGGTAAGAGACTAAACTTGATAACAAAATAAATGACTCCACTAACAGCTAATGAGCGATCAAATTAAAAAGTCATTTCAGAGATCGTAGTTGATTTTCCGAATACTCGTATCGTAAATATCGTAATTAGTAGCCAACAAGTTATTGTTCACTTCAAACTTAGCTTGACTATGATTATGATGAGAAAAAGTGGACAGTTGTGATTATTTACTGATATCACGTCATAGGGAAATTCTAAGTGACTGAAATGAAATCACAACCTCACTGGCGACCGATAAAAAGGAATTGTTAACCTAGTGGCCACTACCTCAAACCTAGGTGCAACTGAGATTTTATTCAGATCACAATCAATCATCCGCATGTATAGAAATAAGTCTGGCTGTCAAGGTCAACCAACGAAGTTTAGTTTATTCAGCTGATTTTTCTTGAACTGTGTGAATTCTCAGATGACTTATTTGTAATCAGTATGATGAAAGTTTGGATAAGATTGTAAATAAAGTCCAAAATTAACTATGAATATATATAATGAGCACGGATAATGTAAGGAAAGTAAACATTACAGCCTCCTCTTAATATATTTTTTGATTTTGATGCAGATAACCTTTAAATTTCTATTTTTTTCCAATTGAGCGAAATGTATCTGTATGCAAAAGCTATACTCGACCAAAATTGAGTAAACATTCTCTTTGATTTTGTCTTTCAAAAACTGTCCTATTTTGTACTTGATTAGTTTTTTCAGTGAGACAAATTCATGCTCACCGATAGCTTTTTAGAACGGATTTGTATAAAAGTTTTATTTCTGCAGAAATGATAATCAGAAACAGAATTTCAGTGGCACAGAAGATATTGATTATCGAGAAAATACAACAGATAGTGAGAAAAGTAATAAACCTTACAATATGATTCCTATTTTGGAGCAACCTCTTCCTCTGCACCTCAGTTCGTAGTGCTCTTTTTCTAATCATTATTGTGTATTTTCCACTTGATCTTCACCAGTCCAAAGTTATTAACTTCAAAGATGTTATATATACTACTTAAGTGCGTTCTTATAGGTAGTTCTCAAACAATGAAACTCGTAACATTAGGCATGAAAGAGTTGCGTATCATTTGTCAAGCTCAAAAAGGCAGTATGTTCAAAGATTGCATGAAGTGAAATGAACGTTTACTATCTTTTTGTATTTCCGTCAGTAGCTTAAGCTTTCTAAACGTTCATGTTCATTGTCACAATGTCTTTAGGGGTCGATTTGAAAGTAGTATTGTTGATTATATCTTGCTGGTTAGCCTCTAAAAAAATTCCTTTATATAGTGGTTTTCATCGGTTGGATTATCTCACATTTTCATAGCATTTTTAGTTACCTAAGTATAACTTCAGCAATGTTGCAATAAAATGAGTGTTTCGACCTATTCGTATGTTATCCCTGATGCATACTACATAATTTATACAACAACATACAGCTTACACAAGTTAAAATATAAGACCCGGAGGACAACTAGTAGACACATATAAAACTGAAGTGAACAGTAGTGAAAATTAGTTGAATATGTCTCAGTAACACACTGCAGATATAAAAAAACAATATTTTTCATTATTTGTTTTCTGATTTTCACTCTGTACAGACTAACTCATATTCGTCCATTATTTTTGAATTTTCTCCCAGGGGAAGCGAATTTACGTGTTAGTCTGATAAAAGATGGACATGTATTCACAATCCACAAAAATGATGGTCCTCCTGAACCGAATATTCCGTATGAAAACCCAAATGAAATTGATTTTGGTAACCGAGAAAACGAGGTAAACGTGGTATCCAAAGTTTTTATATATCTTTATACATCATAAATAAATATAAAGTAAAAAAAATCTGAGTTTTTTGCTTTTTGACGGTTACTCATCAGAAATAATAAAAAAAACGTTGTATTTACGACGTTTTTACGTATAACCTTTATCGTCCTGTTAATTGCCTGTTCTCGGTTGGAAGTCTACTTTTACCCTTGATTTTAAGCCTGAAAACAATATTCTTCTTATTTAAAACAATATAAAAAGTAAACTATTTATGTAAACTTTAAGATCGAAAATTTGACCTGATGGAGTTGAATAAGTTGAACTTTAGGTAATTGGATTATAAATGAAATATATTTGTAAAATCCTATCGATGACTTGTACGGGTTTTATTCTTTAAAGCAACGATTCCCACGAAGTCGCGAAACGTCAGAAACTTTTTTTTTTACTTCACTGAGATATGACAAATATATTTAATTTGTAAACTATTCATGTTTTTCCTAATTTGAAATCAAACACAGTCTCTGGTAACTGTCATGATGGAAAGATGCAGCAATTATTTTTGGATGTAAGGACAGTCATTAATTTTCAGATTTCACTTGGTCTAGCAGGTTTAATTTAACAGAGGTGATATTTTCATTATGAGAAGGGAACGCTCTGGAATTATGTATGAACTCAGGTATTTCTGAAGAGAATACATCTTCAGTACTCTACAGAATTGAATTCTTGATCTTATGGAGTGTGCAGTACAAGTGAGTCCCAGTCAATAGGCATTTTAAAAAGCAAAAGGGTACCATATGGATATATGCTTTTCAGCTCACTGATTTATGTGGAGCTGTTTAAATACATTGCAGAAAGAACGTTGTATGGAAACGCATCTTTTAAATTTATCCTACATGGTTGTCAAGAGAAGGCAAATCGATAAATGATTCGATTACTAAGTATCTGGTTAATGTTGGTCACTCTGGTTCACCAAAATCTACCTTCACACTCGTTTGCAAAACGAAACTAAACATTTTGGTGGGAATATGAACTTGCCACCTGAGCATAATAATAGCCTTGGCAAAAAATTAGTCCAAGCATGATATCTGTGTTGAGAATTCCATCTAATCTCTGATTTCACTTTGATTAAATTTTTTTCATAATATCTTTCATTTTATTATTATTTGTTAACATAATTATTTTCGATTGGAGCCGAATAACAGTCTATCATCTCATTCAGTCGGTTTCTCACCAGCTGCTCATCATCAAAAACATCAAAATATCCAGTAAAAACATATTTCAATGTGCTTTCTCCAGTTAGAAGAAGTTACTTAGCCCTCAGTGACATGGTATGATAAGGAATACAAACATCTGGATTAAGTTGGCAAGACATGATGAGAAGTTCCTGCTATACATCTGATTCAGCACAAAGCTCAAGAAAAGTAATGAATAATAACAAGTTATTTTGGTGTTTAGAACAGAAGATTACATAAAAGGATTATCAAATAGGTTGGCTGCGGTCAAGTAACATACAAATCAAGTATGAATAGAATGATACATTAGTATACAGACTACTTAAATGAAAACTAACTACTTTTTTATTGTCATCTCAATGTATACCATCTAATCTATGTCTAAATAAACAAGAATTATTAAGCCTATAGTCACATAGGCTTCCAAATAGGTCTAATACTATTGCTTAACATTAAGATAGTTCATAAATGAGAATGTTTTTAAAGTCTCCAGTCGGTCTGATAAGATAATATGACCTATGAATTTCAAACATACCATTATTTCTCATGAGATTACAACCTTTCGGCATTATATGAAACGATTTTAATGTGGTTTGGTTTGCTCTGAGCTTTAGTATTTTGTCGTGAACGCTTCAACAATAAGCTTGGTGGCATCCTATGCATCAACTTCACAAAAACATGAAGCATATTCCAAAGTTAGATAGCGTGTCTATTCATCTCAGTGTCTGTCCAACTGCAAGTTGCGATAAGTCGGGGTCACATCTTAATGGTGTAACAAAAGACCGAAAATTTCACTCGGTCACGTTGATAGAGAATCATTGTCGGAGTGAAATTGGGCTATTTGTTGCGACCACATTGTGCATCATTATTGATTTGTTTGGTCTATTTGTTGATGGATGGCTGTTTTTTCCTAAGTAGGTTGTAGATTGGGTCTATATTTATGTGTTTGTTGTTTGACTTTTTGTTGGAATTTCCTGCTTTTAGGAGTTATCTTTCAGCTTCTGAACCTTCTCTTTGGAGGATTTCCACATGTTTTCAATCTAATTTTTGATTGCTTAAGCTGTAATCCTAGGGCTGGAATCTTGGCCGTGTTGTATTATCTGGGCTAATTAAATAACTGAGCTCAAAAAACAAAACACAACTGAGGTCATCTACCTGAGCTACAAATATTCCCCAACATTTCAAGGCTAGAATTATTAGTCATCCATCTTATGAGAACAAAATTTCGGTTTTTATACGCATAGTTCTCAGGGAGGATGAAATAGAAAACACATTCAAACTAATCACCCAAACAATTGACGGAGTTCACTTGACATAGTGGGGGAAAGGCAATAATAAATCCCTGTTCATAGATGTCCTCATCAGCAGAACGCGTGACAAAACTTTGGAAACTATGGTATACAGAAAAACTACACAAAAACTGGTCAAATTATGAACTGCAACAACAATCATCCTACAATCGATAGAAAGTTTTGTGTACAGACACTTTTCAAGAGCCGAAACATATTGTAACACTTAAGCAGTGCAGAAAATCGAAGAAAAATACATGTACAAAGTGTTCAAAAGTCAAAATTATCCACAACTTTATGAAAAATATCTTTATCGGTCATGCGGCAATTAAATATTTCAATTTGTGAACAACTGACAAAAAATGACTCAATGAAATGGTATCATGTTATTCAGCCTCAAACAATTGCTCTTCCTACAGTCGATTTTATGAAGAAGAATGCACATAAAGGAATAATTATCTTTCTCTACTTTCTTTCTCTCTGAAAGTCATCATTTTAATTTCCTCATTATTTTTTAACGTTTCCTACCTTATTTATTACCTCCAAGATCACCACACAATCACCTTGTAATTCTAGAAACAATTAAGTAATACATTCGTAAGCAAATTTTTGATGACTTTGCTTCATTTATGAACATACTCAACCGTGATTACTATAAATATGTATGTACACCATCTGAAAAGAAAATTCTGTTTGCTGAGTTTTCTTTTGTTATTGATACAGTCTTCTGGATGTAAATATGTTCAAAATATCTTCTAAGTATTCACTGAACCACTAACCTAGACACAGACACCAGAAATAGGATGTTTAGTATGATAGGAAACATGCAGACAATATAAGAAAAAATTATTTTGCCATCATATTGAGCCCAAACACGTATATTCATCTAACTTAATGTTTGTGTTTATTAAATACCTACTGAAAGATATTTTCATCTGGTGGGTGAGTAGGATATACCGGAGTAAAGTGTTAGTGATATGGTCATTTAAGTTACCATAATTAGTGACCAAACAGTGAAGACGAATAAATAAAACTTTGGCTGTAATTAACATTTACTTTTGATCGATCTGAAATATGCATTCAATGTCTACTTTGTAAAGCAAAAATCAGTTTATTGCTTCCCTGTAAGTTAAGCAGAACTTAAATGGCTGATAATACTAAAACATACCTAACAAACATCATCCTTGGTTATGTACAACATAAAGAAGGAATATAATTTATATTTGTATAAGTCCTAGAGTGTATGAAATAAAATAAGTCCAGAGTTTAGGAAGGAAGTCGAGCCCAATCTTCTCCAAGGAAATAATCAAAAAGTAAAATATCAAAGATAAATAAGTCAATCCATGTGTACTTAATCTCTTTTTCCAATCTTATTCTTAGAGTCATTGTTCTTCTACAATATGACTACTAATCATCCAGTGTAAAATGGTATTTGTCTTGTTTTATGGTATGTGAGTTGATTGTAAATAAGACACGAAAATGCCAAAAGTGACATTATAGTCATTCGGCAAGAAAGCAGTTACCTACCCTTCACTTTAATAGATTAATTAATATCTAAAAGATATACTTAGAAAAAATGGTAACTGTAGCTAAATTGGTGGCATATATAATTTTGCTTTCTTACTATCATAATACTTTTCTGAAGACTAATACAGTTCAACGTGTTACTTTTTTGTATCTTCTCTTTCGCTACTGCCTTAAAAACTCATAACTTTATTGATGAAAATCTTTTGCAAGAGTTCCGTGTGGCACCTTTCTGTCTCCAAATCTGCTCATCAAAAGTGGATACAAATAAACGACCTCTAGAGTTATTGATCACTTTAAAGAATATTTTTGGCTATCGTGAATCTTGCGTCAGCCTACACCCTATTCAGATCAATGACAAAGAAGTTTCCAGTAAGAATTTTCTCATTCCTGTCAATAATCGATCCACTGTAAATTGTAGGAGCACGTATACTAGATACAAAGTTGGTGGATAAGCTCAAAATTAGGTATAGAGTTTGATTTCTTTCAGTAGATTCATAATCATTGGAAAAAAACCAAAATCAATGGGAAGGATATTTATCGCCATCTTATCAGTAATGACGTTTAGTTGTGGGACAAGACCGAACAAGAAAATTATTTAGTATTTCCTAAATATTCAGACATTATTTCAGCAATTTGGAATAAATCATGTTCAGGTTTACTATTAATATTCAACCATTTATTCTCTCATCATTTTTTGACTGAGTAACATAACATACGTTTCCTTTTAACCATATGCACTTTTTATAGAATGGTGCAGTGGACTTAGGATCAACTGGTATCATACAAGAAGGCTGTGATAATCATGACAGCTTCAAAAATCCTTCATTGCCAGAGTTGTTTAGCTCAGTTACTGCTTGCTTTTCCGATGGCATCTGTCTAGCTGTATCGAGGATAAATAATCTGAGCCTAGTAAGTACTGACGTTTAGTTGTCTGACATTTTTGATTTAAATAATTTCAGAACTAATTTAACGTTAAACGGTGAACTTAGGTTTCCTATTATTATAGAATGAATTAAAAATATGGATAAAGTGGACTTTAATAAAACTTCAAGCTTCTATTCAACTTCCCCTTATCGAAACTCATCAGCGATGTATAGATTTGATCTTCAGTGTTGAATGAATTCCAGTTTACTTAAAATTACAAGATGTTACATCCTCTGTAAGAGTAAACTGCGTATGCGAACTACACTTAATGCTTTGGATTTCCGTTTAAGTAATCCTGTACTAAAGACTGGTTCTCAGATTCCTAGCTTCCTACTTTTCTTCAGTTAACAGTTTGATGAAAACGCATTATCCACGACTGAAATTAGTTTCTAGTCCAAATCTTTTAAATAACAGGCAAGCAGATAGTCTGAGAAATACTCATTACCATCTTGTCAGCACTATGAGTTAAACTCTAAATATTCCAGCGGTCGAAGGAAACCGGATTCCATGGTTATACAGAGAAACTATTTCCTCCTTTTTGCTTGACTGGGCTCTAAGACTTACACTCTGAAAGCTGTTACTTCGATATTACATGTTAGGAGCCAGTCGTTAGGACTACTTGCTTGTCATGTTTTTATGCCTAATAACAGTAAGAAACTAGAGATTCCATGATAAGTTGAACCTAAGTTGTTCATAGTTAAAATCGGAGACTTTAACACTAAGCTATTCAAGTCACAACTGTCCAGTTCCATGACTGAATTAAGTTTACTAGTTGACTACTAGAGAGTACCGGATGTACTTCTATAGTCGTCAGTAGTCAACGCTGACTGAGGTCTATCGATCAAGTTAGGAATACAAGTCGACAGTTGACTGATGGATTTCGGCTGACACTGAGCACTTAGCATGACACAGTTACATTCGTTATCAGCTGGTGACCGATTCATGAAAGCGGCTATCTGATTCACCGTTTAAATAGAGTTTATTCTTATTCTTTGTTCAGTTTGGTAAATAACTGTGTTATTCTACGATATTGTATGGATCTGTAAGTTAGAAACATGTTTTCAGCTGTGATTTGGAGTTGTTCGCAACATTAGTTGGTTTGAGGAAAAACTGACTGCTAAATAGCTCATATTAAGGACCACTTCATGTTGTTTTTGCCAACAGCATGAAAAAAGTCTATCATCAGAATGGAAAGGTATTAAAATAATGAGGTATTTGGTTGCTGAGATCTAGACAAACGGAGTACTGTCTGATGAAAGTTCGGGAATAAATTCATCTGGGCCTGGAGAAGAGGAATTTAATAATTCTGTATAGAGTAGGTATCCACTTGCTGCTTACCCATATTTCCCGTTTTTGCTCAAATTATCAGCAGCTGACTTTGTGTTATTTCACTGACTTTGTGTTATCGTATCCCCATCACTTCTTTTTCTTGACTATCCGATTACAGGATCATCTCATGATATAAGTGATTACAACTTTTTATGAGTTATCTACTTATCAGCAATCTTATTTGTACCTTCTAACTACTGTGTCAGCATTCATTAAAACTGTGCAGCTATACTTAACATTGATCCTTCAGGAATTGAACCAGTCACCAGCGGTGATGTAGATATCGATATCCTTTCTATTTTAGTACCATTCTTTTTTATCCACTTCATCTTTGCATATGGACATGAAGTTTGGGTACTTGCACCGATGCCTTTCTGTACTGGTTTTTACGCTCACCTGTTGGTCACAAAACTGTAATCAAATGATACATAGACTGTGCCAAAAGAACATTTTTCGTCCTTTTTTTGAAAAAGGATTGTCAACAGTGAGGTTTATGTTTTAGAAAGTAGCTAAGAAATAGCTTTCTTCTTGATCCATGATTGATAACTGTCATGGCCTAATAATTCGAGACTGTTTTCCAAATAATGGGATTCTGAATACAAAATCAATCCGGAAATAATTTTTAATTATAGTGATAAATTCATTTAAAGTGTTTATTAACCTGTAATCAAGTCATAAAAGGATCTAAAATATTCTTTCAAAGTATGAAAATGACTGAACTGTTAAATGTAACCTGGCTGCTGAAATCAGCCCCACTTTATTTTAAATCGCCTAAAAAAATCTATTTCAATGGAATTATTTCATGCTGTAACTGTTTATCCTAGCAATCAACGCCACATTCTGAAAGGGAACCAAACCAGTTCAGTTTTCCACATAGAAATAACAAAACAAACGACAATAATAGCAATACCATTACTAACAATAATGATAATAACAAAGAAGTTAACCTTATGCACATAGAAGGTGGCGAAGGTGCACAAGTAACTCCGTTTAAACAGTTTATACACTTGTCTACACCCGATGGAGCACAAGTGTCTATTTATCATCAAATTAGTAAGTGGTTTGTTTATACCATATTTTGGTTCACTTACTATTATTCATATTATCAAAACTATACCCGACTTCAATTTTTATCTGTATTGTACAAAAAGGTATCGAATAAGTGTTAACTGAATTTTTCGGCTCAATTCATAGCTAGAAAGAGTGCCTGAAGTGCAAAAAACACTCAAAGATTTCATGGTTCACTTTGATAACTGGTCGATGTGTTATGTCAATAATACGGAAGACAAGCCTGGTGATTAAATTCTCAAACAAATCATCAGGTATTGGGAGAAAACCACAGTTAGTGTAGATAAAAATTGATTTTCATGCTGCAGATGATCTGATTCTCACTAATACATATTTTATTTGCTTAAATCAGATATTTAGACAGTGTGAAGCTATTACACTCATCATGACTTTTGAGGCTCATTATTTGATGCTGTAAATGATGTCTTCATCAACAGAACACACGATGGGGCTTTGTAAACTCAGCTGTATGCAATAACTTTACAGACACCGGCTAGATCGCGAACTACAAAATGTTATGTACAAGCAATATTTTCAAGAGCTAAAACACATTGCTGTGCAGCAACACCACGGATAGCCGAAGAAAAATACATGTACAATGTGTTCAAACCGATTACTAGCCAAACAACCTCAAATCAAGAGATGCGTTACGCTACCCCAGATCTCAGAAACGGTTAGCTGGTTTCTTCGGCCGTTAAAGGGTTAAGTAACACAGAAATCATTGCACAACATGATGTGCAAACAAATTGATCCTTTGCCAAAGAAAGACCAGAGAAAATATCTAGAAAATTAATCCCAAAGATTGTTCACAATGTCATATTGGACTGCATAGCCGTCGGACTGCTTGAAGAATTTATGAACACCTACTAGCAGTGAAACAAAATGATAGTCTCCTTGATTTCAATGAACGCCAACAATTGGGATTACAAATTTGACTAGGAGAATGTAGGGATCCTCTAAAGGGAAGATTTTAAAATCTGCAAGAAGATTTCTAGAAGTACGAAATTCCAACAAAAAGTCAAACAACAAACACATAAATATAGACCCAATCTACAACCTACTTAGGAAAAAACAGCCATCCATCAACAAATAGACCAAACAAATCAATAATGATGCACAATGTGGTCGCAACAAATAGCCCAATTTCACTCCGACAATGATTCTCTATCAACGTGACCGAGTGAAATTTTCGGTCTTTTGTCACACCATTAAGATGTGACCCCGACTTATCGCAACTTGCAGTTGGACAGACACTGAGATGAATAGACACGCTATCTAACTTTGGAATATGCTTCATGTTTTTGTGAAGTTGATGCACAGGATGCCACCAGCTTTGGTGATGACATGTCCATGACAAACTATCCAAGTCGAAATATACCAAACTGCTATCATCCTCACCCTGAGATATGAATTCTTTCTATCAGTTAGTAGCCACGGTTGTTTAGTTAGGTGTGTACCGAAGTCATACACTTTTCACTCCTAACGAAGAAGTTTGAATTATATACTTATAGTTTCCCAGTTTCATAAATTTTCATGATGTGATGAAAACTTGTTGCTGACCTAAAGATTTAAATTTATTTAGACAAAAAATGTGGTTTGTTTCTACCAACCCCTTTTTCCAGTTCAATATTTTTCTGCGTTGTTGTATATGCGCTCTCTTTAGGTAAGTTGCACCCCTGTTTACTGCAAAGGTACTTCCCAGAAAAGATAGCCGGGATTATAGAAGTAAAGTAGTCTTTTGACTGCAAGTTTCTCTGCTATCATTTGCATAATTCTATTAGTTGACTGTACATGTGTCTCTTCACACTAAATATTATTTGATTAGTTGGTTTGCGATGTAAGTATATGATTTGTATTGCTATCCGGGTGAAGACAGTACTACTTATCCTAAAAATGACAAAATGTGCTAATAATAGAAATAAGCCTCTTGTTTATAATTCTGACAGGAAGTCAAGATGGAATGTAATTCAGGACCCCAAGATATGCTTCAGTCAAAAATTTGATCCTCTCTTACAGTGTATCTGTTCTGTAGTTACTATGAATTTTTGCAAGCACACAGCTCATAAGTTCCTATTTGTGTCGCATCGAGAAGCTGAGTTAGTGTAGTTAATTTTCTGCTCAAGTAGACTTCTTATACACTGATCTGTTTATTCAGCACTTTTCTTCTGATTCAGAATATATTCTTACTCACAAGGTAGTTCTTATATTTTACTTTGTACTGGAGAAAACATTTACACTCCCCTACAGTAATTTTGGTTAGATAATAAAGATGAACTTGTTATCTGGGGACCTGTTTTCAAACAAACAAAAAGGGGCTTTTAATTTTGATTTCTGCACGCACTGTAGTTACTGTTAAATACTTCAAAACAATTAGGATAAAGTGCCTAAATCAATCACTTTATATGTAGATGATTCATGAAGCCCAGTCATTCATTCTATGACATGTTCAAAAAATTAATAGAAACATATTTTAAGTTATAGTGGACCAAATGATGGAAGACTGGGACAATTTAAGACCATAAAACTAACAGTGATTTGAGTTTACGTGGAGCTGTTACTCTCCAGTTTACGCACTTCATTCCTAACCAATAAACAGTGAGCTTGAGCCTGGCCTCACCTACCGAAATACATACTTCAGGCAGTACCATTAGCCCTCATCCAATGGTTGGATCCCATTGTCTACTGCACGAATATGCAAGTGTTTGCTGAGTGCATTTCGATTCCAACTCGAATGAAAGGTGGACTTTTCACTTCCTCAACTATGAGACGTTATTCTATTCATTATTTTCATGGAAAAGAAGTGCCTGTATCCTCATAAAATATCTGAAGATTTGAAGTAACAAAAACATATATTTTGTTCTCCCTCAAAAGTGAATATTTCCTCATTGAAAACATCATCATAATATTGGCAATATTATGCGAATGACTGATTGATGTTTCTTATCAATTTATTAAAAATCGTTCATTCATTAACTACTGTAACATGAAACCTGAATATTTCTTAATACTGGACTGCTGTTCAGCGCCAAGTAACTGAACAAAAGCATTTTTTTAAAGGTGCATAATGTTGAAGAGCTTATACTTCAATTTATGAACATTCATTTCATTTGAAAGATTACAATTTTTGAATAGATACAAAGTGTTATTGTAACTGACGATTCGATGACCTAAAATAATTTACAGATTTTTCTAATCAGCAATCAGAATATCTTCAGAAGTTCCAAAATATAAGACAGAATCTTACAGTTGGAGTACCAGGTTTATGATTTTCATTTTCCATAGACGGCACATTTATTTGAATATGTAAATGAAATTCCAATGATAGGATCTACTGTACTGTTCGCTATTGAAAGAAGATAAAAAGGCATCAGAATGTAAAAAAGTGTTCTTGTTTCATTCTTGACCAGCACCCTAGATTACGAATTTCATCATTAGTTTTTCTAAGTTAAATGAACAGTGACTAGTCTTTCAACTAAAGAACGTCTATTCACTAACCTAGGGTGGGTAATATTACAATATAAGAATCAGTTTATTTGCATCTTGATATCCTAAAACTTATTAGTTACTAACTTTATAGCCCTAGGTACTAACTAGAAGAGGCTAAGTATACACACTTCTGAAAGATTCCAAAACAGGATTAAAATATGTCTATTTGCTAGTTGGTTTCCGTTGGAACTCAAGTGTATATCTTAGTTTTTTTCAGTTGTATTTTTAAATATTGACCCTGAATGTTGATTTTCACATGCATAAAATCCATTTTTCAGGTCAACTTTCAAACCCCCTTATTAATGACTGTGTGAAAACAAATATACCCTTAGAAGAAGTTGAAAGTAACCAAAACGATGAATGTAAGACAACAGAAGAACAAAATAAAGATCAGTTTATGAAGTTGCTTCATGGGACACTATTGAAATTACATCCACCAACTAATGATGGCGTCAATGTAAACTCTTCAAAGATGAAGTCTGATAGGGAATATGAATTAACACGTTTTATCACATCGGATGGCATAGTTATACAGGTTTTAATGCCTGGTTGTACATCATCTGCTTCACATGCCTTCAAGGTTAGTTACCCTACGCTAATTGGTATCATTTAATATCAAGTAGAAATCCTTGTTCCTTTTTCTTCTTGTGATATGTTGTTGTCTGTAAATAATAAGGCTTGGTGGTTGTCGTAATCCACTATGATACAAGTGCTGTATTCTATAGCCATTCTAATTTATACTAGTTACGGATAAGATACGCGTAGTAGATAAGCAATGCTTTAATATTTAGAAAAGCACTATGATTAAGTCTGACAGTACGTTGCACAATCTTTTATTTTAAAGTGTCTAAACCTCAGCTAGAATGGTATGCTTGATGAAGCAGCAGTTAGTCTATCATTTATAGTGGCCAGAGTGAGATCACAAGCTATGTCTTCAATAAAGACCTTATTTTAGCCAGTCATTACCTGGAAATTAGCTTTTTGTCTTCCTACAGTATTTGAAAACTAGCTGAAGTGATAAATTTTCATCGAAGCATAACATTATTAACTGGTGTTTAAAAAAACCAGCTTAAGCATGTGGCATAAAAATGATTTCTAAGTTGTCTCTTGAACTATGTGTCTATGAACGTAACTATAAGGTGTAAATTTAAAAATTATGAAACAGTGCAGAATACATTAGAATATTTTGATTATCCCATGTTTATTTAATAACAAAGTGCTGTGAACTTATTACATCGTGGTTAAGACAAATTCACTGAATCGAAATTGACCACATAGAATCTCATACAAAGGTGAATAATTTCAAGTCACCAAACTTGTCGATCGCTCAGGTTATGATGTGTATATTTTGATATTAAATATTATCGCGTATCATCAAAACGTTAAGTTTTTTCAAACTTTCAAAAGTGAGTCTAATTTGAACATTTATGATAATTAAAAGTAGGGAGACTCACAGCTAAGTAGGAGGCAGCTAGGTGTAGATATACAGGGCGCTCTTTATTTATATCAAGACAACAAATAAATAATTCTGCATTGCGGAAATAACCTACCGTCCATAAAGCCTAGTACCTAAAACTATCACTTTTTAACTTTTGAAATCCTTTTGGAGGGAGTTCTTCACTCTCAAAATTGCAGCTACTAGCCTCACTTACTGCTAAGAAGGCAAAACGTCACTTTAACACCAATTAATGAGGAAACCACAGTGGGACACATTGAAATAAACGCCAAAGTACTTTATTAGGCCAAGAGTGTCAATATCTTGAACTCATTCATTTTCTTTGCTTAGAATTCTCCTATCAATTTTGTGAGGCTAACCAGCCATTATTATAATATCCTCATGATCAAATCAGCTTCATACGAAGATTTATGAGTTATAAAACGCGTTAGAACATAAACTTCTCTAATGGTAGTCATCTGATTTCCTACCTATTAAATTTAGTCTTATGAAACTGTATACACGTGAGCAATCGCATGTTACCACATTTCGAAATAGTAATAAAAAAAGAAATGAATAAAGAAAGGATTTTGTTAGAATGAGTAAGAAGGATGTAAGAGCAGAGTTAGCATTTTCGCGAAAGTAGATTGACGACTTTAAACTTTGGAAGTTTAAAAAGAAAGCATATATTTCCGCCACTTGTCTGTTGTAATCCACATGAGCCACAGTCTAAGACCACTGACTCCTAACCTCTGAGCTACCCAAACGCCTATGCCTACACAGCTTAGAAAAGCAGCCATAGACTTGAAAATGCATCATAGTACTATGCCACATGGAACAGTAACTGGATCCCAAACTTTATTGGTAGACATTGATAGCAAACTATTTATAAGCCTATTATCGATTCTTATCAATACTTTTTCATATGGTAACATCATCATCATTATCAACATAGGACCAGGCATTACTGCGTAACAGTCCGAGTTGCCACACCTCATATCAGCACATCAAGTAAAAAGGTAGTGAGGTGAAGGATGAAGATAAGTGAATGCAGTCAAAAGAAATATAAAGTACGAGAAGAAAGGAAAGAAGAGTGACAAAATAGTGAGATTCGGTATAGCGTTGTTAAGATGAGGATAATGTGTGTATACATCTGCGCCACTGACTTCGGTTCTGAGCCATATCACCTAGGGTCTCCAACCACTGGTTCCTCTTGTCCCGTGGACCCCAACCACCTAGTCTGCATCGCCATACATGGCTTAAACCAACAGTCAGAGACTTCATACATTGGTGCCATGTTTTAGTCTGGCCACCTCGGGCCTGTTACTTTGTTGCTGATATCACCGAATTTTGTGGAAAATACTCAGCTGATTTTTTTCTTCGGACACTATAGGACTTCTTAATAAAATAAATTCTTTGATGTGTTGCATGAAATTCAGTTTTTGGATGTGTACCACGTGTTCTCCATACAATTACTTCGTTACTGGGTTACCTTAAACTCTGAATACCTTCTACTTTGCTAGTTGGATGGAAGCAATCAGCAGGAAATCCTGGGCCTACGTTTTGTTTGTTTGTTGTCAATTACTAGAAAGGCATGTCTACGACTTCATGGAAACTAATGTCGTCCCAGGGATTTCAAAACAAGTCACCCAGTAGTAAGACCTCTTATTGCATCAGAAAGTGGGAAGAGTTCAAATATATTCAAAGACAATAGTTCCTTGAAGGTTACAGACTGGCTTCACTGAAGGGTTTTAACAAGCACGAAACCTAGGTCAAACAAAACTTTCTGCTTATTACTTTCAACCAACGAGCTAGCATCCATGATGGTGAGTCTCTTAGCTTGCTGATTACATTGAAAAATGGTCGAGACAATTTGGTGAGTACTTGGGATGAGGTAAAATAAAGTTGGTCATTATCTGATAAGCAGTCACTATACTTTCTAGAGCCACGTATTATTGCGTGAAATAATTTGTGTCGAACAGTAAGTACTTCTATTCAACGTGTAACAATGGCTTTAATTTTTGAAATACCTATGTTTGAGCTATACTCGTATATCCTATTCTCAGTTCTTTTTAAGGGTTTGACGGTACGTCTTATAGAATGTCTTGGTTGATGAAAAGAGAACGGAATACCACCTTTCTCTCAGTAACACCACATTTTGTGAGCCTGACACCCTCATTTTATACCCTTATAACTGTTCTACAAAACTCTTTGCTGATAATGACCTCCTGTTCCTCTAAGAATATGCAGGTGATTATTTATGATCACTCATCACTGAACCTGAGACAAGTTTCACACTAAGCGAGTTTGATTTTGATTTATTTAGATCTCTTCCAGCTGGTAATATCTTTAAAGTCAATTAAAAATTAAAGATTATTCCTTTTTTGTGTAGCATCTGATCCACCTAAGAGGCTATCACTTTCCGTTGGAATTTGCTACAGATGCACCTAAGAGTTACGAAGCTAAAAGCTACACCAGTATCCTTCTATATAAGTGAAGAGTTAAGGCAGTGTAATAGACTATAATTCCATTCCACTTTTAATAATGTCACGCAGTGAAACTATATTATTGAATGGCTGGCATTTTAAGCACAATTTAATGATCTTATTCATACCAGAGTCAACACATACTTTTCAACTTTAACGAATATCCCATCGTTCCTTGTTTCATGTGATTGGTAGGGAAATTTTCCAGATGAATGTCATGAACTTATGGTAAGTTTTAATAACCGACTTGGCAAATAGCGTTTAAGTTAGCAATCATTCTCTGTACTCTAATAAGTTATTTTTCAAAATTGTCACTCGATTTCCTCCTACAGCTTCAGTGTGTGTGACAGTCCGCATAGCTGTTGGTGAACTCTTTTCTAAATCTCGCCATAGTCTACCATTCCACGTTTAGTTAAAAAAAAATAGATTTTAATAAGTTTCTGCTACCAAAATGAGTGATTTTTTTCTCAATGTTTATACTGAACCAAACGACCTACGAATTTTGATCATCTTCCTCCAGATATCCAACCAAATACCATTTCATATTTCATAACCAGTTAAAAGCGGATAACTTCCCTCGAAAATCAGTAAAAATTGCACTTTTTCTCTACTTTTTGTTCGATATCCTACTTCTTTTATTGTTGAAAGGCATACTACACCATTAAAAATTAATTTCATGAGGAATTCTAATGATGTTTCACTCTATTTTATCAACAATAGATTTTGTATCCTGATGGAGCAATTATGGAACGTGGCACAGCTGTCTCTGAAGAACTGAGACGAAAAGAAAATCCAAGTTTCACTTCTGACAGTTTACATGAAGAACAGGACGTTGGTATCCAGCCAGAAATTGCAATGCCAAACACACTGCCAGTTAATCCAGCTCAATCAACCAAAGCATCTGCTAAGAAAAAGAGTGCTAAAAAGAGGGTAGAAGAAAAGAAGAGTAAGTCAGTTGACAATATAAAGTAATGAAAGAGAGGGCAAGATTACAAGTCAATTAAGACGAAAATAGACAGAAAACAGCGTCGTGCTTGTTACAGTTCCAATGGGCATCAGTAATTCACTGGGATAATTTATGTGTTTAATCCTAATGCTGAACAGCTGGCCAAATCATGATTGGTAACATAACTGGTAATTTTGTTGGGCTGATGATTGAAATTGGAATAAAAACTAAGTTCCTGTTAGCTTTAAATAGTGTCATTTGGGTTATCCAGTTTAAAATAAATTGTTCAGGTGTTATTAAACCTACTCTCCAAACTTCAACATTTCATCACACCGTAACTCAGTAATTTTTTGAATAATGCTGTGTTGTTTGGAGTGATCAACACTAGATTTGAGTCTCTGTATGAACAACATTCAGTGAAATGCAAGGAAATTCTGCTGACGAGTCTCAAACTGGATGAATTGTGCATTCTAGCCACCATCAATTATTAGTTTCATCATATTACTTTCCGAATCTTCTGAATTACCTTAGAATATGCTGTTGATATGTGGCTATGTTGCTGATCTGTCTGTGAATGCGGAAATACTGAAATAATGTCTAGTTATCTGTTCACAAGGCTATTTTAAATGATTGTGTGATAAACTTAGTTTAAGATCCTAGCAATACCCATTGAACAGTCAACGAATCTCTTTACTTATAGGCTTGATTAAAGCTTAAAAATTATAATCTCTGTTTTCATTTTGGTCGATTTGTAGCATTTAAACTTTTTGTTAAGAACACTCTTGTAGAGATTGAGTATGGATGAGAGTTTGTTAACTGACCTCTGTATAGTCTACTATAGGTGGGGTTAAGACATCAATAATTTCTTCCTCATTGGTTAATAACGACTCCAGCAAATGAACTCATAAAGCCAAAAATCGGATAATAACCTAAAATTTAGTCTCAGCCGTCAGCCTAATTAAAAGATATTATTTCACACCTTAAAAAGAAAACTATAAGAGATTTACTGTACACCTGTTTCAAAGCGTTGGCCGTGTAACCTGGAAATTTATGTATGCTGACAAATTTGATAAGCTCTTGGTTGTGAGTTATAAGGTTTAAAATCTTATTCTTTGCCTTCATACTGTTTGCTGGCATCGACGATTCTTTTAAAAGTTTACGTCAAAGCACCTGGTTCACCTTTACTTCTAATATGTGAGCCTTTTTCAAATTTATTCTGCCACAAACTTGCTCCAGTCACCGGTACTTTGGCGACTAGTTACCTTCATGAATCAATTGACCGAATAATAACCAGATTATCGACAGGGCATTAAAAACCCTAAGATGCCAAACTAGAATATGGTAGAGATATACAGATGATACGTTTGTAGTGCACCTTCTTGACACCGAAATGCACTTAGTGCCAAAATAAATAGATTGAAGTGAATTAATTGGATATTAGCTGGAGAAACTTCTATCTCGCCTCTGAATGCTTAAGGTGTTTTGAATTTGCTTTAACAAGCCTGTATCCGAGCAAGATTTGGCACCATTTTGCGCTCCTTTTGTGCTGGTTGACACACACGTCCTCAGAGTCCCTAGTTCAGCCAACAATAGATAGATAATTTGGATAGGCCTTTTCCTTTAATATCACCCTCATATTTATTCTATTTAAATATATTGCTCTTTCAAATATATTCCTAAATAACATTTTTTTTGTTTCATATTTCGTTACCAGTACGTACATGTTAGGTATGCAGGTATAAGAGCACATTGCGTTAAGTAGGGTTGGTCGAGCGTTACGCAACTGTAGCACACCTAGACCCCTACAATTGGTGACCCCATTGTGATGCCTTTTTGTTTTTCTTTAAAAACTAAACCAACAAACGTCTTTGGAACATGTAAATTCTGCTTCAAATTCTATAAAATTCACGAAAGTAGACTGTAGGTACGGGACTTTACTCAAATTCCCATGCTTAAAAATAAATGAAGAAAAAATTAGGAAAATTTAGGAAACTAATGCACACGGCGCGAGGTTCTGTTCTCACTGGGAACAACATAACATGCCAAGGTGCAGGTATACCAACCTGACGAGTCTTAAATAGGACAAAATGCACGTCGGGAATTCCTCTGATAGCCATAACCAAGTAAATCACCATTATGAATATTCAGACCATATGGATGTATCCATATAGAATCCCATATGTCAATAGTGGGCGAACAATTTGATCCAATAAAACAACGAAGAATTACAAGCATATCAATGGATACGCCGATAAATATTTAAATTTTCATGCAGTAAACGTGAAAGCTAAAGCAAAACTGAACTTATTTAATGGAGTGAAAAAACTCAGAACAAATCCCAGTGATTTGGAAAATAAAGTTTTAAAGTTAAACAAGTTTTAATGAGTAATGGATATCACCCGAAAACAATTTTTAAGCAACGTTTTTGATGAGATGGATGAAACATCAAGTAGGAAATATAAGGTCAAAACAAAATCAAGTGTGTCATGTATGACAGTACTATACTAAAAGGATAATTTTTGAGGCAGATTCAGATGTTGTTTGCCGCTTATGATATCAGAGTTTACTTCTAACCTTTTAGTTCATTGGAAAACGTCTTATTCAAAGTGAAAGATTCACTTTCTTGGATAACATAAAACAACTGTGATGATTAGGTTAAATATCAGAAAAGTGAGGTCATTTATGTTGGCAGAAGTTTTAAATAATAAAACATCAGGGTGAATGAACACAATCTATGTAGTGAACATCCATCAAGAATGAAAATACAAAGCTATCGGCGATGTGTTTGCGTGCGACTAAAAGTGGACTTATTTTGATAATGTATGCATATTAGCAAAGTATTTCTATTTACTTGACCTAAGAATTATAACTACCTAGTTCATCACCGTTACAAACATCTTGGAGGAATTCGGTCATTAAATCAAGTTTAAATATAATCTCATTGTTACCATTTGTTGATGTGCTAATAATTCTCCATTGTTTCACTGAATCGAACTATCCGACCTCTATGGACAAATAGGCTTCTATGAGGATGTTTCGATTTTGCCTGAATACTTATTTCGATAATATTTTTAGTTGTGGCTAGCAAAGGAATCCATGATGCGCGTTTTGTCCTACTTCGGACTAGTCAGCTGGATACACCTTAACCGCAGTGTGCCGACTGAGGCTCGAACTTCGTACCTATCGCTTTAAACGCTAAAGCGTTATCCACTTGGCCAATGAGGCACAACAACCACCTCTTGTACAACGAGCATCGGTTATTACTATTAATAGTTTGTTATTACTATTGATAGTAATAACTAATACAGGTTGTACAAGAGGTGGCTGTTGTGCCTCATTGGCCAGATGGATAACGCTTTGGCGTTTGAAGCGACGGGTACGAGATTCAAGCCTCAGTGGATACACCACCACTTACTGCGGTGCAGGTATATCCGGCCGACGAGTCCCAAATAGAACAAAACGCACGTCGCAGATTCCTCTGCTAGCCACAACTAGGTAAGTTATAGTACAGCCGATAGTTAATTGATGGAATTAATGTTTCGCTATAAAATAAGCAGTATAAAACTTATTTAAGTTAATTATTTCATCAATGATTATTCTACAACTTAGTTTTGATGTACTGCTAAATTTGTCGTACACAGACTTAAAGTATCTGATTACATTTTCAACGAAATATGCAAAATTAAGGTTGACAAACGTACTCTATTACTTATCCATCAAGTGTATAAAAATTTATAATATAACTGTTTTAGTTTGCTGTATTACTGACATATGTCGTGGACTATTTTTCACATCATTTCTTCAGATTATTTGGTGGTTAGACCTATAGACAGCCGTAAATCTATGTTCTTTTACTGTATTCTAAATTGCTAGGATTTAGTTAGGTTCATAGTCCGACTACACTTGTCTGCTGTTTATCTAACAGTTGATTACCACCAGAATCGTTGATGTATTAATTATGAATTACACAATTTCTTACACAACATACTATAAAAAAAATGAAGGAAACTAGATAGAGTGAGATCTTAGAATTTTTCCTGTTCTGAGAACCAGAACTAGCGAAATCGATGCAAAATCATGTCACTTTATTTACAAGGTCCTGTGTTCTTATTATCTTCATTCTACATATGTCTCACAGCAAATGTCTGTAACTCTATGGATTGTCGTTGGTGCGTTTCGGAATCATTGTTTGAATGAATGGCAACGGTTTCCATACAAAATATTCACCTTAACTGCTAAAAAATTCCATTCTTTCATAGTCAATGAAAGCATTCAAGTGTATTTTTAAGCTCCTAATGAATTACTTGTTAGGTTGCTAATTAGCATCCTTTTTAACTTCACTAATAAACACTGTATTATTCAATAATATTCCAGTTGGTTCAAAAGATAACCGGAAAGTTTTCAGCTAGCTGTATAAACTTATACAAAAGTTAACTTGTTCCTCTTCTGAACTATCATACAGTAGTTTATTTCATAAGACGTGAAAGTTGAAGTGAATAAGAGTGAGACAGTTTTATATGGGAACCAACGTCTGACATATAAATGGTCTGACGAAGGAAATAGAGGGATGACTGGGAAGACTGCTGTTTTGTCACTTTGTAACTCAGTGAGTTAATTCTTCAGCTTACATGTGTATGGACTGGTTGACATTTATTTCGTAATAAGTAGTCACTTGATCTTCAGCAATAAGACAATATCTACCCCCCTCAGTGACTATTTAGTAATGCTAGAAAACAAAATGAGAATACGCTATAAAAATATCTATGAATATTAATGCAACTAGTCATTTAATATTAACATGGAGCCTGGAATTACTGTGCCGTGGTCTAACTTGCCGCACCTTAGACAGATAGAGAAAATGTAAGCGAAAGTAGTAGAATGACAAGAGAATAGAGTAAAAGGGGTAAGGCAAAGAGGAAACGCGCTATGACAATTAAGATGAAGATAATACACTACATATTTAAAGTATTCACTGTTCCATACGAAAGTTTCTTTCATTTTCTTTCCCTATTTATCGTGTAAACATTTCCATGAAAAAACACTAAAATAAAAAAGTGGTAAGGAGGCAAAGATAGAGAACAAAGTAAATCAAAAGGAAAAAATAAAAAGCATCCCTGGCTGTCATGTGTGAACAAATATATAAAAATCTTAAAAAATAAATACTTCATTGTTTATGTGTTGTACTACTCGAATATATTTCCAAGTAATGATAAGGGAAACAAAGAGTGGTAGTGATTCATTGTGAAGACCAGCATAATACCCCCGGAAAAGTATTTTAGTAATAAAACATTTGCCTAGTTTTAAAAACAGAATAAATTAGTGACTAAAGTAATCGGTTTTGAAGATGAGTATTTCGAACAATGAGATGTTGGGTAGCTAAGTTGTTGCATTCCAGCACTTCTTAGTAGATGAACAATCCAAGAAGGTTTCAAGCTTCCGATTATAGATGTCTTTCAGCTGTCACATACATTTATTGATAAAAGAAAATGATTGATTTTGAGAGTATATATCGTAGGGTAGCTGATTCGGTCAGCAAGATTGACAGTTGATGGACATAGCTAATTTATGCCGGATTAGGTAGTAAAACAGGTAAATGTACCTAAACGATTCCATGCTACAAATCTATGAAGTCTCAAAATGTTGGTTTTCATGATGGTAAGTATTGGCTACTGGGAAGAGATCTTCAGAGTTTTACGAATCATTCATACTGACACGTAATTCAAAGTTAATCACTGTTACCTATTGACCGTTTATTATCTTCAGACTTCTTGATATCTCACTTTAGTTTTTTTTTATTCCGAGTCATTACGAAAATCGATAGCTTTGACATCTGACCTTTTCGACGAGATTCTATTTGTCAATCAAACTTATTAACACTACCAGTGCCTGAATACTTGAAAATTATGTTTAAGACAGACTCATTTACGGCGTATACACCAATTACTAGGCTTATTAGCGTTGGCTATGATTACAAATATGTCACTGTAACTAAATCTTAAATCGATTGACCCACTGATGTCTGGTTTCTCTCAAGTACATCAAACAACTACTCATGAGCCAGTCACTACGTACTGCTGGCAACAAATTCAGCGTTAAGAATCTGAAAGTTTCAAGCGATAAATTTGGTTCCTAATTATTTTCATAAGTTGCCTAACTGTCCCAGATTACAGTAAGACATCAATGTATCAAAAAATGTAGTTCAAACCACAAAACCAATATGGTATAAATCCTGAATACTAATACTGTTTACTTGAGTGTTACCTGATAATTAACGTGCTAAAAATTGCCTAGGTTGCCAAAATGGTTAAGACAAAGTTCTCTGGAAAATATCATTGAGTCGAACTACTTAGTCAAGTAATGTTTTCACCTTTCTTGATGTTATGATTATTTTCCGGTGAATTCCAAAATTCATTTTGAAGTAATTGTCTATAAAAGCTCGATTGTTCATGATTGAATGGAATTGTACTGTCATAATTAAAGTTATAACAACTTATTCCTTGCGTTTCAATTAAGAAACTCTTTTAGACTCAGAAGTACCTTATTGAATCAAAAACTGTAAAAAGAGTTCTGATCTGTTTTCTTGCTGCCAGATGAAGACGATGTTCGAAACGACCCAGTGTTAGCTGTAACAGAAGCTGCAACGTTTATCACTCCATCTTGCACATCAAGATCAACAATTGATGATCCAGATGAAAATTTACCTTGGCTCGTTACACTTTTGTCTGGCGAGCGCTTTTGGTTCAAACCAATCAAACCTAAACACCATGTCAGGAAGTCAAGTGGGAACGCATCTACTACAAATACATCAGAGCGTATATCACAGGAATCCATTGTCGTGGATACACCTAGTTCGAAAAGCACTAGTGATACAATGATGTATGAAACATTTCCAGGTACGTCAATGGAATCATTTCGGGCTTATGATCCTGCAACTGGTGAGACTTTGTATACACGTCCAGCAGATGGTTTGATTGCTGTCGAACCTCACCCAGATAGTCCGCTCAAACTGATTGTACAACATTCAGATGGTACACGTATAACACAACTTTTATTAGCATATGTGAGTTGAAAATTCACTAGATATTGTAACATTAAATTTTTTTATCTACTGAAAAGTAGTGGTCCCAATAAAATAGTCAACATCGCCTTATGTCTCCACGAAATGAAAAATTGATCGCAGATACAATTGCAGTTGAGGTCAAATTAGAAAGAAAAAACACGAAATACGGCCAGACCAATAAATAACACCAGCCCACCAGTTCAGTCAGTTAGTTTCAAAATCGAACTTGGTACTAATGCTTTTCTGTCCAGTCAATCATATCTCATATCAGCACATCAAGCCAAAAATGACTGAAATAAAAGATAGGAAAATAAAGAGGAAGGCGGTCACCACTGGTAGGAAGTTGTGGGAAAAGAATAAACAATTTTGAAATTAAGTATGACGATTAAGATAACTAACCTCGCCTGGTTAATTAGTTTACTAGTTACTAGCCGGTCCTAAGCCCCCGTAAAGAGGGAAGGTTGGGCATAGGGCTAGCAACCCTAACCCGGAAAACAAATCTAACCGCTAAAGAAACTTCAAAGCACAAACAAAATATAAAAAATGAAAACAAAACTATTCCTCGCTGGAATCGGAGAGGCGAAATGACGCCAGTTGGAGAAAGCCTTCGGGAAGCCAATTCGCCGGGCCGATGTGTCTTCTCTCCCTAGATGAAAGCAAAAGTAAATGTGGGGACATGGAATGTCCGTACGATGTTTGAACCCAGCAAGGCAGCCCAGATTGCAAAGGAGATGAGAAGGTATCACATTGAAGTGCTTGGGATTTGCGAAAGCAGATGGAATGAGAGTGGACTCTCCAAACTGTCAACTGGAGAATCAATAATCTACTCCGATATTGTCACACAGACGACAACCACGAGCACACTGAGGGAGTGGCTATCATGACGTCCTCAAGAGCATCGAAGGCTCTCATGCAGTGGGAACCAATCTCCACCAGGATCAGGGTCATGACAGCAAGATTCAACTCAAAAGGAAGGGAGGTGACAATCATACAATGCTATGCACCTACAAATAATGCAGAGCAAGAGAAGAAGGAGGAATTCTACAGACGACTTCAATCAACACTGGACAAGACGTCAGTTGGCGATATCAAAATCCTAATGGGCGACATGAATGCCAAACTTGGAGGGGACAACACGGGAAGAGAACTAACCATGGGTCGAGAGGCGCTAGGTGAAATGAATGAGAATGGAGAATTGTTTGTAGAATTCTGTGCATTCAACGATTCGGTGATTGGAGGCAGTGTGTTCAGGCACAAAGATATCCACAAAGCGACATGGATTTCACCAGACACCACGACACACTAAAAATCAAATCGACTTTATCTCAATCTCAAGAAAATGGAGACGCAGTCTACTTAACACAAGGTGAAGAAGAGGAGCAGATGTAGGTTCAGACCACTCACCATCTAGTGCAAGGAACCTTCCAAATCAAGTTAAAAGCCTTCAAGGAAGCTGGTGATAGACCTCAACTCAAGTACAACACTCGGAAACTGAAGGATGAAACTACAAAGGAGATCTTCAAGGCAGCCATCAAGACAAAATGGGAGACATCGAGCAACATCCCTGAAGAAACTTGTGTGGAAGAACACTGGAAGTCTTTGAAAGCTATGTGGAAAGAAACCTGCACAACAGTATTAGGAAGGAAGAAGAGGTGAGACAAGGAATGGATCTCGACGGATACCTGGAAGCTGACAGAGCAGGGAGAGGAAGATGGTGATGGTGAAGCAGAAGATAAACCAGTGCAAGGATGCTCAACGACAAGAGGAACTGAGCACAATGTATAAAACACTGGACAAAGAAGTGAAGAAGAGTGCACGCAAAGACAAAAGACACTTCTACGACACACTGGCAAGTGAAGCAGAACAGGCTGCAGGTAAGAGAGATAGAGACCTGACGACATTGTATCAAATAACCAGGTTGCTATCAGGGAAGAGACCAACACAGATGAAACCAATAAAAGATGAAGAAGGAAATTTAATTACAAAAGAAGAGAAACAGAGGAAACGATGGGCCGACCACTTCAAGAAGCTCTTGAATCGACCACCACCTGCACTTCGTCCAGAAATACCACCTGCAGCCGCTGAATTACAAGTGAACATAAATCCTCCAACGAAAATGGAAGTCCTGAACACCATAAAGCTACTGAAATGCGGGAAAGCAGCAGGACCAGATGGAATACCGCCAGAAGCACTGAGAACAGATGCAGAGACAACAGCGGACATGCTCACACCACTATTGCAGAAGGTGTGGAAGGAAGCGAAGGTACCGGACGATTGGAAGAAGGGTTACCTTGTCAAACTGCCGAAGAAGGGAGACCTCAGTGCTTGCAAGAACTGGCGCGGAATCACTCTCCTGTCCACCCCAAGTAAAATATTAAGCCGCATCATCATGGAGAGGCTTAAAGACGCACTGGATTCAAAACTGCGACCGGAACAGGCAGGCTTCAGGAAGTACAAATCATGTGCGGACCAAATTGCAACGCTTCGCATCATCATAGAACAGAGCATAGAATGGCAATCAGCTCTCTGCCTCAACTTCATCGACTTTGAGAAGGCCTTTGACAGCGTCGACTGAGAAGTAATTTGGAAACTGCTTCATTACTACGGAGTACCGCAAACCTTTATCCGCCTCATTCAACAACTATATCAAGACGCATGCCACATGCCAAGTAATCCACAAGGGGAAGCTCAGTGATGCTTTTGAAGTGAAGACAGGAGTGAAACAAGGTTGCCTACTATCCCCCATGATATTCCTGATTGTGATGGACTGGATCATGCAGCAAACAGTAGGCAGCGAGAAGAGGTGGATACGCTGAACTGTGGAAAAGAACCTAGAAGACTTGGATTTCGCCGATGACTTGTGCCTGATGTGACACAAACTTGAAGATCTACAGGCAAAAGCTAACAAGTTGATAGAAGAGGCAGCTAAGACGGGACTTCAGGTGAATATAGAGAAGACAGAGGTGATGAAGATACCGCACCACCACCATCAACAACAACAACAAACTCCAATCACCGTCAACGGGAGAAACTTAAAGGAAGTAACCTCCTTCACTTATCTAGGAAGCACTGTTTCAACTACAGGCGGCACAGGCACAGACGAGGATGTCAAAGTCAGAATCGGAAAAGCAAGACAGGCGTTCATTGGCCTGAAACCAGTGTGGAGATCTTCTGCATTGCACTCAGCATGCGGAACAAGATCCGGATTGTCAACACCAACGTCAAGTCAGTGCTTCTGTATGGCTCAGAGACTTGGCGCGTCACGAAAGGGATTTCCAATAAACTACAGACATTCATCAACAACCGCTTACGCTCGCTACTGAAGATCAGATGGCCAGAATAATAAGAATGAGCAACAAGGAGCTCTGGGAACGAACCAACCAAGAACCTATCGCTCAACAAATATGCAGGAGGAAGTGGAGATGGATGGGGCATGCACTGAGAAGGCCGACTGAGGACATCACGCGTCAGGCCGTCGAGTGGAATCCCCATGGGAAGCGACGAGTTGGACGTCCGAGGGTGACATGGAGGAGATCGTGTGAGGAGGAAATGAGAGCTTGTGGGCTGCCGTGGGACCAGGTTCAAAAGATCACAGAGAACAGAGGTCACTGGAGGCGTGCTATTGAAGCCCTATGTTCCACTAGGAACCCAAGGGACTAATAATAATATAATTAAGATAACTTGTGGATACATATGATTCACTGTAATCGATTTTAACCCATATCATATGCAGACTCCAGCAACTAGTTTCGATTGTCATATGGACCCCAAATATAAAGTATATATATTCTTAGAAAGTTCAGATCAACAGTCACAGGCTTCGTAGACTGTTGAGGTGTTTTAATCTGGCTGCCTATCACTTTCTACCACCTAGCCCCTAAATGTTAATCCGCGGTTCCACTTTGATTTTGTCAACCAGTCAAATACTGTTAAGGTCAAGTAGAGAAATATGATTATCCAGTTCCAGATGTGCTAGAAAAATGAAAATAACTGTTTAGACTTTAGGAGACATGAATCAGAACCGAAGGTAGTGACAAATATTCATTATTACACTGTTTCCATTTTAATCGCTGTACCCCCTTTCATAATTTACTATGACAGCTCTTCTTTTCGTTTCATCATTTTCTACGCTATAAATCTTGTTCTTTCCTGTCTTTTAGTTTGCACCTTCATTTTTTTTGATAATTACAGAACAATCCTGATCGCATTTTAATACTGACCCAATAATCGCATACCGACAGAATCCTAATGAATAAAATTTATAACTGCCACCATTTCTACATAACTTTTATGATTTTCTTAAAGGTCAGTGAAAATGGAAATCCCACTTGCCTACTTGTGACCAATGTAAGCATCTAAACACGACATCAAGTAGAATTTGTGAGTTAGTAAGAAGAATTGCAGTAAAAATGCTCAATAAGCAAACAAAAGTGACCAATAGTCAATGATATTTGTCGTTTCCACCATATGCCGCAGTGCTGCTTAATGTTTTCACTCCGTTCTGTACATACAGAGCTTGACTAACTTCAACTAGTGTTGACTACAGATTCAAGCCTGCCCTATCCTCATTCTCAGTTTAGGTGTACTAAAATATTCAAATAAATTTTGTCGCAATAATCATAATCGTTTACCAAATCAAATCCATGGCAAATATTATCGTATATACAGCAAAGACATTAAGAGAATGTGGTTTCATAACGTAAATATAAACAGAAAAGCAACTAATAGTAAGCTGCAACCATTAATATTTTAAGATTTGATTTTCAAGTTATATTGAAAATATGTGACTCGGAAGTGTAAGACCATAGTGACCTTGGATATTATTATTATTTATTATTTGTCCTTTAGCTTCCTAGTGGAATATGGTGCTCCAGTAGAACATCTCCATTTCACTCTGTTCTCCGCAGTCGTTTCAACCTGGCAACGCGACTGTCCAGAAACTTTCATTTCTTTCTCATTCGAACTCCTCCATATCACTGTCGAACGCCCAACTTGTCGTTTCCCACTTAGATTTAACTTGAGGGCCTGGCCTTGACCGTCATGTCCCCAAACCGTCTTCTCAGTGCATGTTCAGTTCATTCCATCTCGACGTTCTTCTATATATTTGTTGGAAGATGGGTTATTGGTTGGTTCGTTGTCAGCCCATTGTTCCATGTTGTCTATTCTTTTTTATTCTGGCCATCTGGTCGATCCTCAGTATCGAGTGAGCGTAAGGCAGCTGCTGATAACGTATGTCTGTAGTTTGCTGGAAATGCTTATTGTGAGAATCCAAGTTTCTCAACCATCACATAGAAGCACTGAATTGAGTGAATTAGTGTTGAAAATCTGGGTCCTGTTCATGCTTTATGCTGAGTGTAGTAGATCTCCACACTAAGTTCAGATTAGTGAAGACCTGTCTTGCTTTTCCGATTCTGGCACTGACTTCACCATCTATGCCGCCTCCTGTAGTTGAAATGATGCTACCTAGAAAGGTAAGTGAAAGAGACAACTTCGTTTAGATTTCTCTCGTTGATGGTGATTGGTGTTTTTGTTGACGCTGTTGTTGTTGGTTGAATATCTTCCTCACCTCTATCTTCTCTACGCTCAAATGAGGGAAGTCCCGTCTTCGCTGCCCTATCTCTTTTGTCAACTTGGTGGATTTTGCCTGTGGATCTTCGAGCTTGAGTGACAAGACATTGGACATTAATCATCACTGGCGAAGTTCAAATCTTCTAGGCTCTTTTCATAGGTCAAATAGAGTATGCTCCTCACAGTTTGCTGCATGATCCAGTTTAGTTAGTCAACCAAAATCAGGAAGATGATCGGTGATAGTAGGCAGCCTTATCGTACTCCTTCCTGTCTTCACTTCAAAGGCATCACTGAGCTTTCCATTGTGGATCACTTGGCATGTGGCATCGTATGGCATATATTTGTTGAATGAGGTTGATAAAGATTTGTGGTGCTGAAGCAGTTTCCAAATTATTTGTCGGTCGACGCTGTCGAAGGCCTTTTCAAAATCGATGGAGTTGAGGTGGAGAGTTGACTGCCATTCTATACTCTGTTCTATGATGATGCGTAGCGTCTGGATTTGATCCGCGCATGATTTGTTCTATTACCAGAAAGCTGGTGTTCACTGATTATTCTGTGGCTGGGCTGTTGGTGGTATTTCTGGACGAGTTGCTGGTGGTGGTGGTCGATTCAAAAGTTTTCTGAAGTGGTCAGACCATCGTTCCCCTTGTTCCTCCTCTTTAGTGGTAACTAAGTTTCCTTCACTATCTTTCATTGGTTTCATCTGCGTCGATCTCTTCACAGACAGAAAGTAAGCTGGTTATTTGACACAATGTTGTCAGGTCTCTCCTACCAACAGCCTGTTCTGCTTCACTTGCAAGTGTGTCGTAGAAGTGTCATTTGTGTCCAGTGTTTTATGGGTTGTACACAGTTGCTCTCTTCATTGTTCATCCATGCGGTGCACTGGTTCATCTTCTGCTTCACCATCTTCCTCTCCCTACTCTATCAGCTTCCATGCAGAGATCCATGGAGATCCATTTCTTATCTTCTTTCTTCTTCCGTCCTAACACGATTATACAGGTTGCCCTCCATATAGCTTTCAAAGACTTCCAGTGTTCTTCCACACAGTTTTCTTCAGGAATGTTGTTCAATGTTTCCCATTTTGTTCTGATGACCGACTCACCGACTCACTGACTCACTGACTCACTGACTGACGTGAATGTGTTATTTGTAGTTTCATCTGTCACTTCACTTTCTCTTCTGGGTATTGAACTTGAACTATGGTCTACCAACAGCTTATTTGAAGGCTTTCAACTTGATTTGGAAGGCTGGTTCCCTGCATTAGATAGTGAGTGGTGTGAACCTACATCTACTCCTCTTCTTCATCTGATCTTGTGTCCAGTAGTCTGCGTCTCCATCTCCACTTTCTTCACATTGAGATGAAGTCGTGTGTCCTGGTGTCTGTTGAACTCCATGTCACTTTATGAATATCCATGTGTTTGTACACACTGCCCATTATCACCAAATCGTTGAATGTGCAGATGTCTGCAAACAGTTCTGCATTGTCATTCATCATTTCACCGAGTGCTTCTCGACTCATGATGAACTGTCTTCCTGTGTTGTCCACTCCGAGTTTGTCATTCATGTCACCGCACGCATTAGAATGCATTTTGATGTCACCAACTGGAGTGTGGTCTTGTCTGTTACTGATTGCAGTTGTCTGTAGAATTCCTCCTTCTTCTCTTGGTCTGCATTATTTGTAGGTGCGTGGCGTAGCATTGAATGATTGTGACTCTCCTTCGTGCCTTGTGAGTTGAACCTTGCTGTCATGGTGGTGATGCTGGAGGAGATAGGTTCCCACTGCATGAGAGCCTTCGATGTTCTTGAAGACATCGTGATAGCCACTCTCTCCATGCGCTCGTGGTTGTCGTCTGTGTGACAATATCGGAGTAGATTATTGATTCTCCAGTTGACAGTTTGGAGAGTCCACTTACATTCCATCTGCTTTTGCAGATTCCTAGCACTTTTGTGTTATACCTCCTCATCTCTTTTGCAATCTGGGCTGTCTTGCCAGCCAGCTTCAAACATGGTGCAGACATTCCATGTCCCCATGTTTACTTTTGCTTTCATCGAGAGAAGACACATTTTTAGGTGACTTCTCGAATGCTTCCACCCACCGGCGTCGTTTCGTCTTCCTGGTTCCAGTGAGGAATGCATTTATTTTTATGTTTAATATTTTTTTTGCTTTGAAGTTTTTCTAGCGACTGGATTGGTTTTATGAGGTAGGGTTACTAGCCATATGTCCAACCTTCTCTCTTCATTCGGGCTTAGGATCATCTAGTAAACTAGACGAAGTCAATCTTGAATGTTTGAAAGAAAGCAAAAGAAAAATTGATTTTTTAGTATTTCAAGGCTGACCTGAAAGTGTTTTGTAGCTGAAACTTCAACAAGTTATTTTATACGATGCTGTTTCCATAGGCCATAAAAATGAATTAAAGAGGTCGTGTAAACTTACCTGAGTAAGGAAAGAAATTCATGTCTGATTTCTGCATTTATTATGTATAATGCACAAATTATATCGTTAGTTCATTTCCGTTTTTCTCCATTTTCAAATTCAAGTGAATAAGACATTGTAAAATTGAGTATCATGAACTTCTTAGTTTCTTATACACTACAAACATCCTACTTTTTGGTGTTCGTGTAAGTTATGAAGTTTATTCTTACAACAGTGCCTTGTAAATAATGATATTTGAGAGTGGATAAATAATGATCCTATTCGACTTGAAATGACCGGGTTTTTAGGAAACCAAACCTGGTTTTTAGAGTTCAGTATATTAGTAGTGAAGGTGACTGAGAATAATACAGTTAGCTACGAAATAAGTCCAGTCACTAGAACTACACACTGGTTAACTCTGGAAAATCTAAGTCTTTTAAACATTAAGCTTCTTCACACTGGACGTTTATTCAACCTTTTTATACTTTTAGGGATCTACCTTTTCATTTCTTAATTCTCATATTCTGAATTTAAATGCTGGAAATTGGAATTGATCGATAAGGAATATCTGATCCTACCCCTCACTTGTTGTGCCTAATACATTCATTCAGTCTTTTGCCTGATGAATCTGTTTTCATCACTTGGTTCACTCAGTGTCAAATGATCCGGCTTTGAATACTTTCCTAATCAATATACTGGATATCCCTAATAAATAATGTTTCGATGTACAGTATTGTTGCATAAGCTCGTCATAGAACCTAAAAGAACCCCCAAAACTTTCACTCCTAATCAAAAAATGTCAAATCCATGAGAAAAGTCAGATAGCCAAGAGTGTAAACGTGAAACTAGTCAGCATAAAACACTGTAGAAAATGTAATTCAAAAGAGAATTGTTACTCAGGTTCACTATATATATATATATATATATATATATATATATATATATATATATATATATATATATATATATATATATATATATATATATATAAATCAAGTAGTCTCATTTGTAATCAATATGATGTTGTATCTCTAATTCAGCCAAGACTGGACTGGGACGACAAAACCTAGCTCAAAAGCCAGTGTAAACACAATGAACGAATACTGACTTAAGGATAATCTGTATACGCACTCTGACAAGAATTTTCTAATAGACTGTCTGTATGTATGTTGATGTTCAAATGACCACTATGCGAGGCACTTGATTTAAAGTCTCATTGCCTGGTTTCACTGTCTTCCATTCATTACACAAATCGGTTCTCGATGCTATTTAATATAACGTCTGATTATTGTATGAACAATAAACTTAGAGGTACTAAATAAACTCCAAGCAGCAAAGTAATCTCTATTCATTTCTTTGACAGTGAGAAAGGATTCCAACGAAATTGTAGTTTTGGTAAAAGCGACTAATTTAAAGGCAGTTCACTTCACAAATTGATATCGTTTGAAGATACTGTAAAAATCAACTTGATTGGACACATTTGACATTATGAATGAATCATCATCGACAGTGTACACCACTGACATTAACTTGTTATCTCTCAGTATCGAAAGCATTTTAAAGACATCGATTATTCAGTTTATTAATAAATTTTAGGCAGTTACGCTGTGGTTTGGAAACACGTTAAGAAACAGTACTACTGATTTGTATTCTATCCTAACAGTGCCGATAGCCGGTTGATCTCAGCTTAAAATAAATTCTCGAGCGAAACCACTTGATTTTATAAACTGTCTACAACAATTCAGACGGAATAATGACAGTATACATGCGTCATTTTTAACATGTGTCATTTCACTCTGTGTTCAAATCATCTGATTATGATTCTATGAAATTCTACTTCTCTACTGATTATTTTTATTTCTTATTTATAGGAAAATGAAAAAGTGGCTGCTACACAGAATTCTGAACTTGTACAAACTAATCTGAAGAAACCACAAATATTCATTCGTACAGAATGCGTTGGATTTCCAGCTGTAGTTCTGAATAGATCGACTGGAGAGTTTGAGATATCACTATTTGGTAAAAGTCAGTTTTCTTCTACATTTCATTCTAGTCCATCAGGCCATCATGTATTACAGGTAACCGGAAGACTTACGAAAATCATATTCACTAAAGACATTTTATATCTGTTGGTTGGATAGAGGCAAATAGCAGGAAGCAAGGCTTTTTGCTTGTCGCACGTTACTGTGCTGAACTGCCTAGTCTGGTGGCCACACTGCGAAAAGATCGATAGAATTCGATCGGCACTTAAGACTAGACAACATGAAGTTAGTTACCCTCAAGTGACCATTCAATGTATGTCTTTATCTTTCAAAACCATGTAAAATTTGTAAGAGATGAAAGCCCTTTCAGGAAAGTAAAATGATTTTAGGATTAGTTGAAAGTAAACAAACGTCTTCGATGTGAGACGTTTAGTAGGGTATTAAATAGAAATTTATTATCTGCATTTCATCATCTTTCAAGTTTTGAATTATATGACTGAATAGATTTTTTCTAGCTTAGTCTGCTACAGCTTTTTTGTCTTATACTCGTCAGTATGTTAACCATTTTCAGTTGTATCCTAACAGTGATTTCCATTTTTATATACTAAATGAAGTTAGCAGTCGGGCAACACAAAATGCAGGTGTCACCATTTGTCACTGTAGCCGAATAAATGAATATAATGTGAGTCCTTTCGGCTCAAGTATATAAGATCTTTTAAACTGTATCTGATTTAAAAAGCATCACATTAACTGACCTGAAGAAAAGGTTTTTGTGTTCACTGATTTGTTTTTTTGTACTAATCTTTGAAACATTACGTATTAGAAGATTCAATATGTTTGGACCTAATTTAATGCTTTCTCACCAAATCCGTAGTCACAGTACGGTTCATTGATAAAATAGCATTCAGCAGTGATAACCGTTTGCATTCATCCTTACATGTGTGTATGCTTCAGTGCACACAAAACACTTACTGTACCCTGTAAACGATGCAGAAAATCAGGAATTTTGTAGCGTACTTACTAAATAATCTCATATTTAACAAAAACTGTGAGGCATTTAGATCTTCAAAAATATTATGAAACAACTGTGCTGGTCCATTATTTTCGTTTGTTGACAGTAAGATTGCCTAGGATATAATTTGGTGTCTATATTCAAATCAGGTAACACCATAACTTTGAGACATGAGACATAACCATAAGTTTCGGCAGAAACGTTATCCAGCAAATAATACTGTATCACTATGTGACACATCCATACAACCACAGTGCCCAAGTTTTACTCCTATATGTGAGGTGGTGTGACATTTCAGACTTATGTTATTGATGCGGTGTGATAAGTGAATAGGTAATGAAAACCTGGCAGCAGCATTACTCGAGCGACAGGACTTCGAGTTATCTGTTTGACGCTTTACTAACGAAGTTAAAAGACCCAGCTGCTAACGAGTTTTTAACTTTACTTCAAACACTGAAGGTCTTAATTGACTTTCATGTGAATCCATGATATGTATATGCTTGTTCACCGTAATCATACCAGCTTTCCAGCTAGGTCTTCTCGCCTCAATCTGTTTATCATTACTTTTGACCTGTGTCGAATTCGGCCACCACGCATCATTTAATTTGTTTTCAATTAACAATGGCATAAAATCAATGGACCACTAATTGCTTGTTTTATCCTTAGTTCTTCATCATGGATAATGCGCATTCTGTATATCCTGAATAGCTGCACTACTTACAGCAGTCAAGGATTCTATTACAATTAGCTTCTATGGGCATATTATTTGATTGCGTCGTAATCTACGGTTGCGGTTATTCTGTTAGATAGAAATGCCAAATAACGTACATTTCTTAGAATTCCCTAACCAAAACAGAATACTTTCAGATCTTTTCACAACCACTGACTTCACTGAAACAGATTATAAGGGATTTATTGAATTCACACATTTGATGCTTTATTTTTTGTAGATAATTGGCATAAAACTAATGTATTTGGTCAAAAAAGCTTTTAATTAACGTTGATTGAGTTATTTGGGATGCATTATCCAGTCATCAAGTCGTCCTGTGTATTAAGATGTGCTTTAAATGAAATAAAACTTAAGGCAGGAAGGCTAAAAATGTGTAGAATATGATACAGTAGTAGTCTGTGAAGTGCTTAACAGTCAACTTGAACGAACTATGTTTGAGGTTTGTGAAATATTTGGTTGGTTTTAAGTGAGATAACACAAGATAACTTACAGAGGCATAGATACAATTAAATATCTTTTCTGTGGATAAAATCTCATCATTGCATATCGGCGTTTGATAGAACTTATTTCTGATATATTCAGGTAAATTCAATGTGCATACAAGTAAGCCAGACCGTCTCTTATTTTTATCAGTCAATCTGGTTTTTGAAAACTCGTTATCATCAGTACGAAGACAGAGTTTGAAATATGGTGAATGGATGCAAGCTTTTGATTTAGACTGTTAGATACAATATTTTCTGTAGCTTTCTTAAACGATACCTTCATTTGAATGCATTTACTATTTAGCATTTCAATGGAGGTCAACTAAATATAAATCCTGATAGTTCTGTCTATTACACTAGTCAGTCTGTGGAAATCATTGGTTTAAATGAACCAACTGTTTATGAAATGCGATATAAGGATACTGAAAGCCTATTGGAATGCGTTGATCCTCACAAAATGCGTACACAGTTGATAACTGGGCAAACTGTAATGTCCTTTTAACCGGTAAGGTATAAAAATGTTTACTAATTTGTATTTGTTGATAAAATCTAGATTCATTAATGATCGAATAGCATTTACTATTGTAAACTAACACCCATCAAATATAATATTGACATCACAATTATATTACTATGCCTCATGAAACTGAAATGAATGTGTTAAGGCCACGGCTCTTTCAGTTTTGCGTAATAACCTTCAGGTAGCATTCTTGCACCTGATTAGCTTCATTTGACCCTTTAAAGACTATTTGATCATGGTCACAATATAGTTTGAATGTAAATAAAAAAACGACAGCATAATATAGCAAGTAGAATAACTGTTGTGTGTAATTTATGAGAAGGATTTCAAATGTCTCATTTGCAGTTCATTTCACTTCTAGGTATCAATTTAAAGGTATAACTAAACCATGATTTTTAAATACGTGCAGTTTTACTTTTTATGTCCTTTCACAACTCTTTTAGCAATTAGAAAAGCAAAGTTAGTAGTTTTTTAATTTTGACTGATACTAAAACGCTCAGAAATTTAATAACACCATTTTGTACACAACTGATAAGTTTATTAAGTTCCGTTATCGAAACAGTTAGACATATATTTCTCAAGTAATCAAACCTTTCAGAAACCTATTTAATGACGACTAAAAATAGCAATAATGGTTATTACGGACTTAAAGTTGGTGTTCATCATGGAATGATATCAGTTGGAGGAACATCGGAAACCTTAGAGTACTGGACAGCTGTTTCGTTCTAGTATGGAACTCCTCAGCAGTGTTGATAAGTAGGCTTTTTCTTAAGGCAAAAGAATAAGTTAACCTATTCTATATAGTTTTAAGTTTTACTATCCTGAAACTTCGTATTTGTGTGATGAATATTGTTGTACACTATCTATATGAACCCCTTAACAAGCGTAACTCAGTATTTCCCAGAGAAAACATTGTACACACCGTTCATCCGCTCGCCTTTACCAAAAAGATACACTTTTATCTTCAACGTTTATGTAAAATAATGAAAATAACATTGTGAATTATCTGCTATCTCAAATACTATACGAATGATCAACAACCTTGAAAAACTGGATCTGTTAAAAAATAATATTTATAAATTTGTGATTTGTTTGAACTATTCACACACACTGCCTAATTTTTTATTCCCTGTACGATTTCATTCGGTGCTACTTTGGGTTTAGCTTCTATTTGCGTTATGTACATTTTCATGCTTCTGCTGAACTAAATATCCGACCATAGACATAGATTAAAGCTCTTCCACCAAAGATAATTATTCACTTATCTTCGATTAGACTAGCGCTTGACAAGATTATATTTCCAGCTTGATGAAAATTCACGTATGGATGCAAATCGGTTAAAGACAAATTGAGGGAACATAGAATACTACAAGATTCGAATTAGTGGTTTTTCATTGAGAAGCCAGGCTATCCACTTGTTTTCTGAGGTGAAACAAAAAGCTGACAACAAGATGGGTTTCTTGCCTCATGTCAATACCAGAAAAAATCAACTAGAAATTCACCCCGAACCGGTTTAAACTATAAGTTGTCATGGGAATATTGTAGGTTGGGTGGAGATAGTACAAAAGATTTACGATCTTAGCAGGTAATTCTGATGGTGCTGTGATTCCTAACTTTGATAGAATAACCTTGAAGTTTTTCCTGCCACTCCGGATAACATCATCATAGTCTTCAGAAAAACGTAAAATTTGAGGATTTAATTAACTCTTTCTTTAATTCTGTTGTCATTGACAGTAAATATAACTTAATTAGCTTATCCTATAACCTTGAGTTAACTTTGTTGTTGCTTCTTGTGCTTTACGTTGGTAGGTTGATTAGTTCTTTATCTACCCACTTATTGAATACTGACTGATCTTTATGATAACTTTCCAGAAATTTCCTGACATTCATTTTGCCATGCATTTCTAGGATTTCTATATTTCCTCAGTCATCCTCAGATTCATACTTATCAATATACATTTTTATCAGTGAAGAGATCTCGTTGCATTTAACCACCAGTTGGTGCTTATGTAAGCAAGCACATATAAGGCAACAATTGTGTTTGACATAATATTTTAGAAGTTATTACCGTTAAACTTGCAAATCATATTGTTTGTCCAAGTATCTTGGTCAAAACAGTGTAGAATGAAGATGCTGTAGTTTTGTGAGTTAAACCAATTTCCAGAAGATTGAACAATCCAATTGCAGTATATTCAAAAATCTGTAAATCGGGTATCCTGAAAAATCTCTCCGTCTCGTCTGCTTGAACACCAAGTAACAGTTAGCCAACCTGATGTATCCAAGGAAAACTGCATTCTTCTTATTTCAGATTGCATGCCTTGCAAATATCTGATATGATTTCCCATTCGATCACATATCTAAACTGCATAGGCAGTATTCAAAGTATGACGACGCACTTTAACTTCATAACAACGTTTCTGCAAGATTTCTGTGTTTATTTTAAGGGTTGGAAGTTATCCTCTCAGAATGCTTTATTCTTCGTACAGCATGAAAACAGACTACCCACTTCAAGCGACTGTCAAAAATTTCTTTACTACAAACCATTCCTTTCAAAGTGTCTTATACCCTCCAGGGTTATATGTGTCTTTATGTCCCAGATGCCATGACTATTCATTAAAAGCACATTGACCAGTTATCATTCCGTGTAGTGATACGCTATGGGGTGTTATACTGAATTCCGGATTGTTGCCAACTTTCTCACTCCACTCTTCATGGATGCGCAGTGACAGCATATTTAGGATATCTTATAGGGACATCTGTTGACATGTATGGTTTACCTAGTAATTCCAAAGAAGACAAATTAAATTAAAATTAAGATTTCCAAAATGAAATGCGACTCTTTTCTTCACGCAGTCTAACACATCCAACTATCAATAAAGGTGATTATTCATAAGTAACTATTGAATGCTCACCAGTGACTTGGTTTGAGCAGTCACCTATGGGACCAGACAAACTGAGTGGGGGGACAAACACTCTCCAATAACACTAAGCTATTGTCGCGTTACACCAAGCACTGGCGGAAGTTGACAATTGTCAGCCTTCATGTTTTGACGTATTGGATGAGTGGTAATGGGATATCCATAGAAACTGAATATCCTAGGTCGTGGATGTGCAATACTAAGGAGTTTCAAACTAGTATGAAACAGCTGTCTGGAGTTACCAGGTTTTCAATATTTTTACTTTGACTCTAATCGATGATGAAAGCCTATTCAAAACATTTTAGCTGAATAGCTAATTATCATCTGATCTCAACCTTCATAAATATGAACTAATTATTATCATAAACTGTTTCGTAGTTGATGAAAAACTACAAAATAAGATACTTTCTTCGCAATTTTCATTTTCTAAATAATTGGTTTCCATTTATTTAGGTTTGCTCAGTTATAGTTCACGTATCCTATACCTAAGTTATCATAATATAGATTGGTTCGAACATCTTATTCAGTTACAATCAAACAATTTTTAATAAAGTAGATCTGTTTTTTGACAGACAAAATGTTAGTATGGTTTAACTGCACAACTTATTTTTCGTTCTTTCGATGTCCAGTTAGTGATCCAAAGCATCTAGCGGAAGAAATGAATTCTGAGTCAAATCAAACCAATTCAGCTGAGCCGACAACTGATAGTGAACATCTAATTCGAGAATCACTGCAATCCAATTCACTGGGTAAAGGGAATGTAGACAATGAAGATGAGATAGTCGGATCACACACTGAAGAAATAACCGATAGTTCTTGCTGCTTACATGATGAACATATACCTAGATTATTTTATTTCGATCCTAAAAGGCGACTAGTTAGTGAATTGATGCACTGCAAAGAATTCGACTGTTTACTACAAAAAGCGCATATTATTCAGTCTCCTCATCACAAGGTAACCGCATTGCCAATATACGAGAAGCTGGCCTATATGAATATGAAAAAGCAAAAGTTAATTTCGACGGACACTATTACGGCTTCAAACGAAGCATTGTTCATGAGAGAAGCAATGCAGAATAATCCGAAGGTAAAGTGAAAATGATAATCAATATATGTACACTTGTGCAGTTTAGCGATGCAATGAGCAAGCATCCATTGTTTGTTTTAAGTTTATCCACATCATTGGTAATGTCTTGAGATTAGCTACTGACAGTTATATACAGGTTCTTTTCACCATCCATGAATCAACCATTTTCTCATATGACTGAAAAAAATTTGCTTACTTATAACCATGAAAAATAAGCGGAACAAAACAGAGGTTAGGCCTGCTAGAAATCTCACTTATCGACCTAATTATCTCAATCTTGTGAACCTATGAGGCTTAGTTTGCAATCATAGTGGGCATTTAACTATGGATAAATTGTACAAAGATTGCAGTCATCTTCTGGGTTCATTCTGTTTCAGATGACGTTTGAAGAAAGCCTCTACTGGAAGCTGATACATCAGAATGAGAGGTTTTCATCGAAGACATTATCTTACTTGTTTGCGATTAGAAAAATTCGATGAAACCGAAGCAAAAGCGATTCACATAATAGGACAAATTTATTTTGTTTCACGATCCCTTTCACTTTCAGACAGTTTAGAATGTGCAGACAGTACAAAGTATATATGTGCAATGTGTGAACTATATTTTAGATGATGTGTAGGTGATCAGTAGTTACAAATCTGAATGAAAGCTTCGTATGATAAAAATGCAGTTTTTGTTACTTTTATGACAGTATTGATAAATCAGATCTAAACCATGAAGATAATACCATTTACATTATTTAGAACCAAGTAGTTATAATCTTTCAACGATCTTAACCCAGTGGTGAACGTTGCCATCACCTGTCGCTGGAGAAGGTCGGTGGAAGATTACCGCTGCTTCTGAACCATGTGTTTGAAAACCAACCACCCGCTGGTTTGGGGACACGCATATTTATGACTACGTGGACGTACTAAAACCACAGTAGCAAGATCATCCAGAGCGTAGCTCAAAAATGAGAACGAATAATAAGGCTACTTTCAGATAGGAACTGGTTAGACATTTATTGAGACAAGTAAATGTCACTCAACCGGAATAAGCCTAGGGTCATCTTAGTTTGCAGTGTGAATAGCCCTAAGTACTATGACTGACTTTTATAAAGTGTTAAAAAAAGTTAATGGATCTCAATAGCTTCAGAAATAAAAGGTTCCGAGCATACTGAGTTGTGAAAGAAATTCGAATGTAGACAGACAAGAAGTCTATACAGTGACCACGAGTAATGGCGAGTATAGATATCTGAGGGGATGAAGAAGGCAGACACAACAGGTAAAGGTGGACATTCATTCCGACTTATCAAAGAGACTGGGGCAAGAATATCAATAGTTAGTGAGACTGTAACGGAGAAGGATAAGCCTGTAATTCGCTTGCAATGGAGACGACTGGAATGATGGACGAAAGCTTCAATGAACAGTTCAGCTGGCCTCCAGCTAATTTGCAGTCTGATTATGAATAAAAATTTGAAATAGAACCTTCAACACTTGTCATCAATATGAAACGAGGGAGGGCATCAAAGCTAGGTGGACTGGCAATGGAGGTTTTTAAAGACGATGATAGCAGATTATTGGTCAGGTTAACTTAAATGTTATCCAGTACATGGCAGTTAAATATGATCCCAACTGAGTGGTATCAGTCACCGACTGTTCCAGTCTCCAAGAAAGGTCAGAACTGCCCTTGCAACAACTAGAGAGGAATGAGCCTGACGCATATAGCGTCTAAAACACTATGTTCTATAATCACCAGAGGTCTGAGTGGAGCGTGCAAATAACGAATTCAAGAAAATCAGACAGGTTTCAGACCTGTTCATGGTTGTGTCGGTCAGATACTAATTCTCCGCAAAATTCTGGTATACAGGCACACTCATTACTGCCAGGCACAAGATTTATTCTTGACCTGAAGGCGTCATTTTTTCTGTCAATCGAGACAGCTTATCACAGTGTTTATCACTGAAAGAAGTGTCGAGTAAGTACGTGACTCTTTGTACTGGAATACCCCGTGTGTCATAGTTTGTGGTTAGTTATTAGGTGAGTTGTGTACATAAAGTTGTATCCGTGAAGGATGTCAACACTCTCCGTTCTTAAACAACTTTATGATAAACACAATATGGAGTTCCCTCTGTCACCGCATTTGTAGGTATTGCTCCTGCCACAGGATAAACATTAGTAAACCTAGAGTACGTAGATGAAATAGTCCTGTTGGGTGGAGATATTGAAGAGACGCGGAGTTTTCTGGACACACTGGCTGGCAATCTGAGAATTTTCGACATGTATCTAACACCAGTAATCCTGGTCCTTGATCGTGTCTTGAATACCAACTGGGAGCGAAGTTGGCGATTACGTCGACCGCTTCATTTACTTATGAAGTTTGGTCATCCCTAGAGGGTCATTGACCGAAGAAACTTCTGCACAGATACAAAAGGATTGAATGGTTTGCCAATTTACTTCATTTGTGACACCTCCACAATACGTGTTCATATATTACAGGTTGAGCGTGCTACCTCTTAGTTCTTTCTGTCCTACTGTTTGACTGTGAAACATGGTCGTTAAAGGCAGAGGACGCGAGAAGGCTTGAGGTGTTTGACCACCGTATAATTCACATTTGTTCCAGAAAATCTTTAGGAGATCTCAATACCAAAAGAACATGTACGGTGATGTATGGAAATAGTGAATCTAAGCCCACTGTAGGCTAGATCAAGTCATATCTATATTTGTGAAGATCAATCACCATTTGCTTCAATCTTGACGCAATCTATAATCTGTCTTACTGAATAGTCTAAACCCAAATAATTCGTTGATACTCAAAACATGAATGTAGACGAGATCCATGGATTTAATATCTATGCTTGTAACTGAATAGATTGAAACTTGAACAAATAGCTAAAGATATAGAGAAAATTAAGTGAGAAAGTGAAACTCAATCCAAGTAAGTGGTTGATGCACCTATGTAGTATGTTTTGAAAAAAAATGGTCAATTATCAATGCACCACATAACATATGCAAATGGAATGATATTTTGGAAGTCCATTTTTCAACATAAAAAGGTAATACGATAGTACGTTTTCACACTACATTTAACACTTTTCTAAACGGAAAGCTAGCAAAAAGGGTTTAGGCTGGGAATATACTGCTTTTTGACCAGCTGAAGTTTTGAAAAACCTCTATAGGCAAACCTTAACGTCATAAGAGTATTTTAAGGTTTCATGGGGATTTATTTCAAGTAGGTAGTCATCACTGACTGACGTCATCTGGGGAACCATTGACTACTTGGGAGTTCTGGATTACTGTTTTGCTCTAGTATGGGGCTCCTCAGCATTTTGAACCCACAGTCCTACCAGAAATCGAACTCAGGACCTTAAGATCTTGCAGCAAACACATTAACCACCTAACCACCGGGGTTGGAGTTAAATGATTCCCATAAAACTTCAACTTGCATTACATTATATCAGATTATCTTATTTTATTTGACCATCAATAGTTTAGTACCATTTACTGGATAACGTATGAAACACCACGAATTACTCCCATCATTTACAGAACAAAATGAGATCATTTTATTTCACGGCCTTTCATCATCTGCAAACAGCCTACAACTGAAATGAAAACTGAGTAGTAATAATGACATAACATACTTTAAACATGTAAAATTAAATTACGATTTGAAACTCAGGATTAAAAATACAGTAGTTAGTCGATGAAACACAGTATCAGTAATCCCTTATCTTACCCAAAACCAACTGCGACTCATTTCCGGTGAGATAGAAACATCTAGAGTTGCGGAAAGTGGGAACCACAAACAGACAGGAATGTAAATAAAAGGGCTGTTAAAGACCTAGTAGGTTACGTAAGTATGTGAAAAAATGGAAAAGCGTTAAGTAAGTAATACAGAGATTATGCAGTCAAGGTAAGGAAAACTATGTACATACATATGCAAAAATTATATACAGTCACCAGGGTGAAGAAAGGTTAATTACAGTCTGTATATAAGGTTTAGTCAAAAATGTTTGATGGCTAGAGCGCATGCAAATCACGATAAAAATGGTGTTCTTTGCGTGTTAATTGTCCTAAATGGTTGAGAAACATGTGTTTGATATCCTGTTTCCATCAGGGGCCTAGTGATTGCTCTGGTAAAGACCTAACTACCTTTCGGACAAAGATTTCTCGGGATATGCTCAAAAATTGAGTTGACGCCCTTCTTCTGGTTCTTCATACCTACTTGCTTCCCTAGCACAGGTGAGTGGATATAAACAGTTAGGAGTGATGTGAGTTGAGTATTTATCTACTCTTAACTGTGTTAGTGAGCACAATATATTATAAACTGAGATCAGTCTGGCAGCGGGGAAGCTCCTTCTCAGTATAGCTTTTATTCTTCTATCCGTTCTTTCAGATATATCATCACTCTTGAATTCTAGAAGAAACAAAATAGGTTTCTTCTCAAAAGCTGTATGTTTGGGTCTCTCAATAAATTCCTTTGCATGAATTATACTGTATGCTAACACAGATCGAAGAGTTGAATATCGAATCACGTTCAGCCACAACAGCTACATCCTATTTTCACAGTATCGTCAATATTGCATATATTGATAAAAAGATGACATTACTACAAAGTCATTACAAAGTTAGGTTTTTATAAACAAAAATTGATATATACAGAAGAGATAACCATTTGAGCAGATCAAAAGCACAGAAAATGGAGGTACTGAAGGATACGGATATAAATTATACTTGTTTAGAAACCAGTTCTTGGTGCATTGTCTACATTTATAGTTCAATCACAACCATACATATTCGTTCCCCCTTTGTCCTCCTCCAAAATTTCGGAAATCATATTTGTCAACATGCCTTTACCATCTGTACGGATGATCACTTTTCCAAAGAATTCTGAGTTATTCCAGGAATTTATCTCTAACTTGCAACGGTTTATCATTACGTGTTCAAACACTTTCTGAAAATACAGATTAATGATAAATGATAAATCTATGCTCAGAGTGAGATATTTTATAGTCTGTACTAAAATGTATGCTCATCGAGACGAATAACTTTGTCTCCAGTTGTTTCCTAGCAAACCGATACTGCATTATAACCCTAGTATATGCATGAAAAACAATTTCAAATGGATTGAGACTTGGTACATCTTTCTGAAATACTTTTTCAATTAAATTCAACCTTATTAGTTGTCACTGGAATTTTCTAATGAAGCTCGTTTTAATTGGTTTCCTTTGTGATTAACTGGTGATACATATTTGTTGTGAACGCTTACTTCGTTCATGTTTCTATGCAATGAAACAAGTTTATTAACTTTCATTGCATGAAATGATGTGTTTCTTTTTCAAAATTTCAGATCTATGGTTTAACACTTATGCAACCAATTAGTACGAGCGAAACAGGCAAATACTATGTTCAAGAAAATATTATTCCAGAAGGTTTAAGCAGTCATGACTTTCAGACTTTAACAAATCCATTGGAATTAAAAGTGAACTCGGATATGCCAAGGTTAGGTGAAAGAGCTGGCAAAGGATTAGATATCATATCACCTTCCTTGGAGTATCTTGGTTTAAAACTTCCAGAGACAAATGTCACTCTGTTGCCAGTGCAAAAAAGCAAGTTAGTAAAACGTGACAGGCAGAAACTAGGTGCCTGCCAGCAACCGCTTCACGTAAATGTCAGACAGTTCACACAATTTCCAGTAATCACACCAGATATTACTCACCGGTGAGTTAAGTAGAATATATTATGCATTTGCTTCAAGTATACACTACATTCAAACAGGTCAGCCCAGCTAATCACTTATTATATTTGAAAGTTTCAAAAGTGTCAGGAAATTTGACGAGGTAAGTCTGATTGTAGGTAGCAATGGGATCAAGTAAGCACGTTTCGTCACAGCTAAGACTCGCCAACTGGATGTGTCTGGGTGTGTCACAGTCAGGGATGACTTGCTCGCTGAGACTGAAACTCAACAACCATTGCTACAAACAAGAAAGGATTATCGACTAAGCTACTGAATAACGAAGCTAACTCCTATGCAACGGATATCAGTTTTTTATTCAACTATACTTATTACTTCCTGTTATTTATATTAGTGAATGCAACTCATCGGTCTCTATCCATATATCGACTTGAAGAAGCTTATATTCTACTGTGCAAATCAGATAAAAGGTTTGAGTGATACTAAACAAAAAAATCAAATGATTATTGGTCATAAACCAGATAGGTAGTAACTGATAATTGTCAATGATATATAAAATAAGTATATGAACACATTTTCGGAAATATAGTTTTGAGTGTACACGCTGACTATAGTGGTGTATTGTGTCATTTTCGGGTTAAAAATATCTGATAACCAACTCAGCTGGAATCCAGATTATGAATAATGCTAGTATCGATGAAGGAAAACGGTATCTGTCTCACTGATATCCGCTTCTCAAAACCTTCTTTACTCATCATTCTTGTATTCAACACCCAGGGCTCACAATTTAATGCATTATTTCTCCAGAATAAACGATCTTAGTTGAACTTAAATTCTTAGAGATGTATAGGGTAAACACAATTCATGAACAAAAATGAACTCACTAGATTAGTTTTATTCTATACTATTTAATGTAGTAACAACTGAGTGGACAAAACACGGTTGCTTAAAAAACAGTTTCGAATACTAAGTTCATTTATGAAGATAGATTCAGATAAAATGCCTTAGTTTTGAATGTATTTTTCACTTACAGAAACATTGTTTCTTTATATGCACATGGGAAGTCGATGAAAGTGTTTTCAAAGTGTACCCATTTTCTTTGATAAATTAGAGATTCAAAGGTCTACAATTTTATTTCAATCAATTTTTATTCAAGTATTTTAGGTGTTTTATGCGCTTATACAGAACACTTCCTCAATCGTTTGAATGAGTGGTGCAATCAGCAACCAACCAGATCATCACAGGTGATGCAATCTGAGCTAAGATTATTTTATGATCCAATATCAACGTTGACAGATGTATTATCTCGAGAAAAACAAACTGCAGATCAGTTAGAGATCGATAATATTACAAATGCATCCAGTTCTCCTAGTCAACAAACTGTTATCAGTCAAGAAATTCCTCAATGTAAGTGATAAAGTGAGATTTAACAAACTACTGGACTGATATTTCAATTAATTGTCAGTCAATGGCAGTAATCTGGTACATATCACGGCAAACATCAACAACCTGATACATAGTAATTCGATGCACACTAATAACAGAAGCTTAGATGGCCTCTATCAAACTGTTTTTATTTAAGACGCCCTAGTTGAATAAGGTGTATGATACAAAATGTTCACACTTACAAACCAACAGCAACAAGAAAAAATAGTCTGGCAGAAACTGAGACTGGCTGCATGGTTTGACAGTAAAAATATGTCTCTTATATTTACCAAAATTACAGTTATAAAGTTCTTTAAAAGATGTAACTGATGAAACAGCCTTGATATATGCTATCTCCTGAGTGTTCAATGCCAATAAGAATGCTTCTTAAGTTATCAGTAACCATTTTATAAACCAGTCTCTTTATGACCAGCGAATATACTTATTGCTTCGTGATGAAAACAAGATAATTCCCTACAGTTACTTTCTTAGGTCACCCACATTTTTATCTTTGCTCACTCAGTTGTCCCAGTGCTAACTAAAAGTCTTTGTAGCCATATATTTATGTCAGGTGACAAACCTACAAGTTATCCGGGATGCTTTTTACGTGAATTTAAACTCTCATAAGTCAATTCATTTGTGATTTGTTATACTGTTTACTAGAGGTAAATTTTCATCATCTGGTTCAGCAAGATTAATAAGATATAAAAAAGGTTATTCCCCTCCTTGTCTATTGGCGAACATTCATATTTACTTCCAACATGAGAAGTATCCACTTGATGTTAACTAAAAAAGACTTTCTTGAAATCCTCTCTTCTAATTAAACTCTTTTTATTTCATCTAATTTTCATATAATGCTCAAATTAATATGATTTTCTCAAAGTGACTAACCGAATGGAAATAGACATAACTAAACATCATGTTATATTTATTTTACATCTTTTAGTTCGTAGGTGGCACATGGAATAAAAGAATTGCATGAATAAATTTAGCTATTTTAAAAGTCAAATTCGTAAACAGTCGCTACTTTTATATCGACTATAATATAATTAATAAAGCAAAAATATTACTGTAGTGTTTTTGTGAACAGGATGTTCTTAAAATCAAACTATTGTTTTCGTATTTCAATCTAGTAATAGTGAATATGCTACAACGTGCGTATATTAATTAAGGTCCTAAGGTCTTGCTATATACTGAAAAATGCACTTAGCACTGATACTAAGATATAAAACAAGACTGCTTTGAAGCGATATTATATGTGTTACAGTATTTCGCAAGAGGTTGATGTGACTACATGTTGGGATCCTACAGATAAGAGTCCAGCCAGTATATTTAAACGTAACTTAATGTAGTTCCATTTCACAGTCAAAAATGCTGTCAGCATGCCACTTTGGAAGCTATATCTTCTCTGAGCGACTAAATCTAGTGTGTTTGTTTGCCAATGAATTGCACGTAAATGATGTCTTTTAAAAATGTATCTTCACTAGATTCCAATTGTTATAGAAGTATGTACAACTGGTCTGTTCCAAATTATGGTGGTTGAATCTTACGGATTGAAATAAATTCTGACTGTGCATTTATTTCTTTCTTTTTGTAATCTCTTAATATCACTATCTTGCAGATTTTTATATGAATGCTAACGTTCATGAAGTAGTTGAAACTATCTGAGGCAGCTGTGGTTATACAGACTAACATAATAGATTCTGGGTAATGATTAAACAAGAAGTCAAAACCTAAGTTGCTGTAGAGTGCATTGCAAAGCTGTTTCACTAGAGATGTTTAGGTAGAATGTTGCTAAGAACTAGTCTTTCATTTCACTTTCAGCCACTACCTCTTTTACAGCGTTGTCATTACCTGAAATTTTAATCTCCTAATTTTTTATAGGCGCTAACCTGCACTTCATACTCAGGCCTTGAACTATAAGACTACAGTTTGAAAGTTTTCATTCTTAGTCCCAATCTTATAGTATATAAACTCGAGAAATGAAGTATTTAGAAGTTGGTGATAATAAACTTTGAGATACTGAGAACGTGAGTTTGATTAAAAAGTATTAGTGTTCTCTGGACGTCATGAGTGCACATAGCTATAAAATTGACCAACTGATCAACGTCGATCAGTCAATTCAAATTTATATTCATATGAAAAACGAGACATCCTAGGAAATGTAGACTATGTAATCAAACTAAATCAGTGAGTGATAGTGAACAATATTACAAATTATCAAGTATATTATCAGATCTCAGAAACTTAGTCACGAAAACTGAATAGATAAGTTCGACTGATAAATAACTGAATCGAATCATAAGGCAGGAATGAATACTTTATCCTCAAAATATAGAAATGAACCATAAGTGTACATACATGAGGAAGTTTAATTTTATATTTAAATATATATATAATACAAAAGGCTCTTAAGTACACACGTTTATCAGCAACAAGAAAGTCAAAACCAAACCATGAGTTGAAACTTAAGGACACTGATAGTCAAACTGTGTGAGTTCAAGGCCAAACTTAAGTCGTACAGCTATGGAACCCCTAAATAGACAAAATTCTGTCTTGGGGATTTAACGCCGTACACTTGGCAGCTACTTCATCCGCTATAGGCCTTAATTTTCATTGAAATATATCACTAGACAAAACGATATTTTTAATATGATAGGTAGTTGATATATAAGGTTCACATTTCAATACTAAGACGTAAAATCGAGTGATCTTCAACTTTTTTACTCCTTCCTGACGGAAAACGGTGAAAAATAAAAGAGACAACGAGCTTTGGAAAAGCATACCTAGAACAGTTCATGATTTAAATGTGTGTAAAAAAACAGAACATCTGAGGACTTGTATCATTCAGTAATTCCCTGAGCTATTTAAATACAGACCCTGCTTATCATAAAATTAGCAAATATTCGTTTTGATTGCCTATTATCGGCTTAGATGGATGTGTAAGTTGGTTGCGGACGGTCGGCAGAAAGCTCTTGACCTAGTTTTCATTGTCCCTACCAATCGCCGCCAACCAACTAACACCTAACAAAATTACACCATGATGATGAGATTCCTAATTTGGTGGCCTCATTGCAAAATGATCAATGGAATTTGGTAAGCACTCAGGATTAAACAACATGAAATTTGTCGTTTCCCAGTGACAAATCACTGTACAGATAGGTGGTTTAGAATCAGAAACCTCAAGTCTGATAAAACAGGACAGTCCTTCCGTAAGGCAAAACAACTATCATTTCTTTTGTACATTGATTTATAAACATGTTAGTGAGAATGAGGTGAATTTACATCACGCTTTCAGCCTTCATATTTACGGCAGCAGTTTATTGACAATCAAAATAAATTATAACAAGCATATTAATTCAAATTATTAAAAAACATTCTGTTTTTGATGCCGAAAATCTGCGATTCACTTGTTCTGCCAACTTGTTTGTTTTCATTAAATATGTATCAGACTATGCTAATAATTTCACTGTATGAAAGTTAAATAAATTTCTCTGGTCTGGAAATTGTAGACTGAATCATTTTCACCATTAAGCAATCTTCTCATCAATTATTGAAGTGTACTGACTGCGCAATCCTTTCAACCATGTTCTCAGTTGGAAACAAGACGATAAAGTTCTATGATTTTGTTGTCTCCTAGAAAAAGGTTTTGCTTTTACTTTGATAATATTCTTCACGAAGTTTTTCAAATAGACCAATATACTTCAATCTATGAGTGGCACATTTTGCCCATGATCGCACGTTTCGAATAATATACTAATAGCTTTCGATGGTACTAATGGTAATTAAGTAATGAAAGTTGAGTGTGAGATGTAACCTGAGTTTCATTTTTGATACTCTATTGGTCAGCCAAATTTTTGTGCTGACTGAAGCAAAAATAGGCTTGAAAAGTACATGGGGATTTCAATGGAAAAAAGCACATAACTGCATTCGATCACTGACCGTTGATGTGAATTGTTGTTTAGATAAGGATTTACTAGCTTGGAGAAATTCGATGAAAACAATAGCTCGCAAGTTGTTAAGATCTACTATGAACATTTAATCACTTTCGTGTTTTGCTCCCCTTTCGCCTCTCCCCCTAAGTTTTTCATGCATTTTGGGTGTAATGATTTTCCCTTATGCTTACTTATACTGTGCAATGTTAATTGTTTATGAAGTCACCTAGCCTGATGATGAAATCTCCAAGAACTTACCTCAAAGCTTGAAGAACACCAAGCAATTACCATCCTCATCCTCAGATAAAATTCTTCCTATTATCTCGGCGTGAAATGACTTAAAATTATGCTTTTTCGAATAAAACTTTCTAATTTATTTTGTTTTTTATTACCGCATCCAATAGCTGCATATCAAATTTCCCCTGCTAGACAAGCTGCTTTCGAGACTTTACGTCAGGAGATTGAAAAGGCAATGAGGGATAGAGCAGCACTGAGAAGTACGCATATTCCTAACTACTTCCGATCAAAAGAAGGAATTGGATTTCTTTTGTCACAAGTATGTTTTTAAAAGAACGTCCATGAATTGGCAATATACTACAGTACCGAAGCTTAGTTTGATCTTTATCTTTGATCAATGTTCAATATACAACGGTGTACTCTTTTTTCCATATATTTAATAATGGTCAACCTGCATATTTCGTCATATAGTTAAGTTTTAATATAATCCCAGCGTGTTTAAAAATCGAAAACAAAAAATGGTAGGTACTTTTTAATTATTCGCAATTCAAAGCTGTCGGACGGCAATCCTCTTAGCAATCAGGCACAATAACAAACTGGTCACTTTTCCCAGTTCATAAGTCCCATTCTCCTTCATGATTTTAGAACCGACCACGAACTTTTAGTTTCAACATATTTTCCTTTGAAACTTAAACTGGTGGCTTAATTCCTCTTGATACTATTAATAGTGATATAAGTTAGTAGACAAATTTATTGGAAAGACGCAGGGATCCTTAAAAATATTAGTCGATTATTTATTCTGCCTGATTTGTTGTTGGAAATAACTTTACATTGATTCCCTCTCAATATCAAGGTTCCTGATGTTAAAAAATTGGCTAAATTTGTGCCAGAACTGAATAATTCAGATGAAAGCGTTGCGAAAAATGAGAAATCCAGTAAGTATTTTGTATATTGATTTATTCACTATTAGTTCTTTTTCTCTCCTACGGTTTCGTTGTTCACCGAATATTCTCGATTTTTCAACAGTATTTGATTTCTCCTTTCAGGGACAGTGCAAACATATTTTGTTGAATCGTCTTTAAGAAATGAAAAACAATATTACCTGTGTCTTTGAAACGCCCACTATAAATATTCACGAGGTTGGTTTAACTTTGAACATCTTGATAGCGAATATCACTAGTTGATGAGAATGGTATTTGGACTTAATATAGCCTCCCATTTATCCTCTTTCTGAACGATAATGAGCAAAAAGTAATGAATACGCTTAAATTCAACCTCTAAATAGACAACACGTAAATACTGCCTTAAGAGTTTTAGTAGCTGAGTTGGAATAGCACTGGAAGATGCTACGGTTGACCGTCGTTGTATCTTGCTTCAAACTAACCAGTTCTTTGCAGTTAACCATGATTTGTAAGAAAGTTATGTTTGGTTACTGCTTTATGTCACTCAGAACGTGCACTGTGCTTCAGAAGTAATAGATGCATGCAGATTGCTAACAAACAAACAATATTCCTACTATTTCCAGAGAATAGACGAAAGTTAAATGCTCTAGGTTGAGATTCCTGTTCGTTGCCTATTAAAAAAGCCTAGCGTATAATCACCGAATACTGACTATTCATGACCATAATTTTCAGTTAATTCTTCCTATACTGAACCATACTGATTGGTCTCCGTTTGCATGAAGGCCTCTTAAACGGATGAAGGGCTGTGGACTATCGGTTTAGTCACTCAAATTCCAAATGACTGGCCTTGGGTTCGAATACCACTCCACACGTTGAATTCTGGTTCGCAAAGAAGTATCATTAACCAACATACAATAAGTGTGGTTCACTGATGACCACAAGAATTACTACGTGGTTGCTGAGCACATCCGGACTTACCTTGAACGATATCTTCGTTGACGAAGTGGATTATAAAGTAAGAAAAAAGTCATCTGAATTTAAAGAACACACAAAAATAGTGTAATAAAAGTCGTTCCTCAGAAAAAGACTGTGATTGGTTTTAGCCAACTGTATGTCAAAGAGTTTATGAATATTCACCACCTAGACCAGTTATTAGTGATTCACTTCGAAATGTTGAACTTTCGTCAGTTTTTCTCCACTTCTTTCCATTTTCTTCAAAATGTTCTTCTGTTACTGGATACCTAATTCCGTGACTCTGAGAAGTTTTGCCAATTGAAACAATAAATGACTAAATCGAATTCAGAATTCCTCTGTTTGAATGCCTTTATACCAACTACACAGTTTTTGTGTGAAATTGGGTTGAAAAAATGGAACAATATTTCCATACACTCAGTAAAACTAATTTCTTTTCAAGTTTCAGGTAGTCGTTTGTATTTCAACGTTAAATTTGCAAACAGACTGTCCTAATGCTTGCTTTATAACTTCGGCCATATTTAGGAAGTTAAACAGGGACAATTCCAGGATTTAGATACATCTTTGTTAAGAGAGATGTTACTTGAACATAACTCTTGCTGTTTTACCATCTTTTATCAAGATTAGAAAAACCAATCCACTTGTACTTGAAGCTTCATTAAAATGGTGTTTTGGTCAAGAACGGTTTATCTATAAACCAAAGATAAGCATCTTGAATGTCGTTATTATTCTTCATTTTATTACCACATGGCCTGATTTAATAGCTAGTCCTAAGCCTGGATAAAGAGGGAGGGCTGGACATATAGCTGATTATCCTACACCGTAAAACCAATACAATCGCTAAAAAAACTTTAAACCAAAAAGAATATTGAACACAACAATAAACGCATTCCTCACTGGAATAGGTAAGACGAAATGACACCGGTGGGTGGAAGCATTCGAGAAGTCACCTAAAAATGTGTCTTCTCTCGATGAAAGCAAAAGTAAACATGGGGACATGGAATGTCTGCACCATGTTTGAAGCTGGCTGGCAAGGCAGCCCAGATTGCAAAGGAGATGAGGAGTTATGGCATATGAATGCAAAGAATCTGTGAGGAATCACCAGATGTAATGAAGTACACTCTCCGAACTGTCAACTGGAGAGTCAATAATCTACTCCGATATTGTCACACAGACGACAACCACGAGCGCATGGAGAGAGTGGCTATCACGATGTCTTCAAGAACATCGAAGGCTTTCATGCAGTGGGAACCTATCTCCTCCAGCATCACCACCATGACAGCAAGGTTCAACTCACAAGGCACGAAGGAGAGTCACAATCATTCAATGCTACGCCACGCACCTACAAATAATGCAGACCAAGAGAAGAAGGAGGAATTCTACAGACAACTGCAATCAGTAACAGACAAGACCACACTCCAGTTGGTGACATCAAAATGCATTCTAATGCGTGCGGTGACATGAATGACAAACTCGGAGTGGACAACACAGGAAGACAGTTCATCATGAGTCGAGAAGCACTCGGTGAAATGATGAATGACAATGCAGAACTGTTTGCAGACATCTGCACATTCAACGATTTGGTGATAATGGGCAGTGTGTACAAACACATGGATATTCATAAAGTGACATGGAGTTCAACAGACACCAGGACACACGACTTCATCTCAATGTGAAGAAAGTGGAGATGGAGACGCAGACTACTGGACACAAGATCAGATGAAGAAGAGGAGTAGATGTAGGTTCACACCACTCACTATCTAATGCAGGGAACCAGCCTTCCAAATCAAGTTGAAAGCCTTCAATTCAAATAAGCTGTTGGTAGGCCATAGTTCAAGTTCAATACCCAGAAGAGAAAGTGAAGTGACAGATGAAACTACAAATAACACATTCACGTCAGTCAGTGAGTCAGTGAGTCAGTGAGTCGGTGAGTCGGTCATCAGAACAAAATGGGAAACATTGAACAACATTCCTGAAGAAAACTGTGTGGAAGAACACTGGAAGTCTTTGAAAGCTATATGGAGGGCAACCTGTAGGACGGAAGAAGAAAGAAGATAAGAAATGGATCTCCATGGATCTCTGCATGGAAGCTGATAGAGTAGGGAGAGGAAGATGGTGAAGCAGAAGATGAACCAGTGCACCGCATGGATGAACAATGAAGAGAGCAACTGTGTACAACCCATAAAACACTGGACACAAATGACACTTCTATGACACACTTGCAAGTGAAGCAGAACAGGCTGTTGGTAGGAGAGACCTGACAACATTGTGTCAAATAACCAGCTTACTTTCTGTCTGTGAAGAGATCGACGCAGATGAAACCAATGAAAGATAGTGAAGGAAACTTAGTTACCACTAAAGAGGAGGAACAAGGGGAACGATGGTCTGACCACTTCAGAAAACTTTTGAATCGACCACCACCACCAGCAACTCGTCCAGAAATACCACCAACAGCCCAGCCACAGAATAATCAGTGAACACCAGCTTTCTGGTAATAGAACAAATCATGCGCGGATCAAATCCAGACGCTACGCATCATCATAGAACAGAGTATAGAATGGCAGTCAACTCTCCACCTCAACTCCATCGATTTTGAAAAGGCCTTCGACAGCGTCGACCGACAAATAATTTGGAAACTGCTTCAGCACCACAAATCTTTATCAACCTCATTCAACAAATATATGCCATACGATGCCACATGCCAAGTGATCCACAATGGAAAGCTCAGTGATGCCTTTGAAGTGAAGACAGGAAGGAGTACGATAAGGCTGCCTACTATCACCGATCATCTTCCTGATTTTGGTCGACTAAACTAAACTGGATCATGCAGCAAATTGTGAGGAGCATACTCTATTTGACCTATGAAAAGAGCCTAGAAGATTTGAACTTCGCCAGTGATGATTAATGTCCAATGTCTTGTCACTCAAGCTCGAAGATCCACAGGCAAAATCCATCAAGTTGACAAAAGAGATAGGACAGCGAAGACGGGACTTCCCTCATTTGAGCGTAGAGAAGATAGAGGTGAGGAAGATATTCAACCAACAACAACAGCGTCAACAAAAACACCAATCACCATCAACGAGAGAAATCTAAACGAAGTTGTCTCTTTCACTTACCTTTCTAGGTAGCATCATTTCAACTACAGGAGGCGGCATAGATGGTGAAGTCAGTGCCAGAATCGGAAAAGCAAGACAGGTCTTCACTAATCTGAACTTAGTGTGGAGATCTACTACACTCAGCATAAAGCATGAACAGGACCCAGATTTTCAACACTAATTCACTCAATTCAGTGCTTTTGTGTAGTGTCTGAGAGACTGAAATTCTACTTTACACTAGAAACCTAAGGGACAAGTGATAATATTCTCTTGATTATTGTGTACAATGTATTTAATACTTCGTGTCAAATCAAATTTCGTATATTATCACCGTCCAAAGTTCTCTCTTGGTGTACACAACTTTTTATGATAAAACGATTGTATTCTTTTTTAAGCGGGAAGAAGCAGTAGTACACTGATCATGTTATTTACTTAGTCTATTGTGAACCAAGTTGTAAAAAAATTGATGGTATCACTGTTACTTTCAGTTACTTCCTGATCAGATTATTACCCAACGAATATAATCCTAATTATTCAACAAATATCATTGTAAAACCATTTTAAGACAACTTTTGTAACTATTTTTTTATTCAGAGCAGAGATGTTTTTCATACAGTCGTGAACATTAGGACACACAAACAGTTTAGAAGGAAAAAAATCATTTGGCAAAAAATATTCCACTTTGATAGTTTTATTATGGTGGTGTATAGATGTAATTATATTTAACAAGATGTCGATTATTTGTACTGATATCCCATAGTTAATATACGCTTTATAGAATTAGGTTGAGAGAACAAAGTTAAAAAGTATCACTAAAAAACAGTAATTGGCCTGGAAAGGGGGATAAGTGTCCAAGAGTATCCGTTAAGGTTACGAACTAATCATAAAATTATAAAACAATATGCAATAAATTTAACTAGCTGTAGTGTGTTGTCAATTTATTAATTATCTAGATGCATGATGAACAAAGTTAAGGGCTGCAAGGTAGTAAATTTTGAACTGTTTATTTTCAAATTTTCATTTCATATTTTCTGGGCAATGGAGAGCCAGTCTCCCAGCTAAGTCTCAAGTATTCTGAGTCACTTCTGCATATTTTATTAAAAAGTCTGCATTTCACATCTCTACTTACTTTTGAAAATGGTTAGCTGCACTCTGAAGTCTAAGGTTTTGTCGGGGATGTTTTTTCAGTCTTATTTACCCTTGTACTGCATTTATTTCAGTAGCTCTTTAGACGCCTGTCTTTACTCTGATATCATGGTAACTGTTATAGCTACAGGATGACGATCAGTATAAATTAATTTCCTTGTCAATTAACTAAAATGCCCATGTTCAAGTGAGGAAAAGATGGTGACGTAGAAGTCGCTAAATCTCCTTCTCTGCATCAAGAAAAACATTTATATCAACGAATTCTAAACAACAAGTGAAATAAATAAATATTTATTCTAAGTTCTGGCATTATCTGGTTCGTTTTAACTTTCCTCATTGTTTTGTTCATTTTATGCATTGATTAATTATATTATTCACCTTAATTCAATTTACTGCTTATTTTACCATTTCCTAAATTTTATTTCCTTACGTACATAAAGCTTTAACAGAGCAATCAGTTCCAACAATCTGCGATTCACCACCAAAAATAGCAAGTCCGTTAATGAGATCATTAGATGCTGGAACAGTGTTGACAACTAGGACGATGACAACAACAAGAATCAACAAAGATAACCTTGATGGATTAATTATGAGTCGAACAAATGAAAATGACAACAAAGATAACTTTAGAAAACAAATGACATGCAGTGATTCATTTAACGAAATAAAAAAGCTGCCAACAAGAAATTTAGAAAAAGCCTGTTTCTATTATTATGAAGTTGATCAGTCGGAGATTGAAATGAAAGGTAAACGTAGTACATTTTCTGTTCATATTATGGCTTTTGTAGTGTAATTGTATCTTGACTGATATTGTGGGTAGATAGCTAATAATCAATGGAATTAAATAGCCGTGTAATAGTTGGACACAAGATATAGGGAAAATGTAATACAGTTAAAATTCGTATAGTTGCCTACATCATGAGAATAAGTGATTCAGACCATACATCAAATGTTATGTGTTAGTAAAATTGGTCTGCTACTGCTTCTGCATAGGTGACAATAGGTCTTTCAAAAGCCCATAGTAATTCCCACAAGTTGTCTTTGAAAGAATGAGACAGATAAGTTCATTTATAGGTTACCTTTCTCACTATTACTTTCGAAAATAATGATAGGTTAGGGGTTTTCAATTCAACATCCTAAATGACATGAACAGTTTTATTGCATATATATATATATATATATATATATATATATATATATATATATATATCAGGGAACTAGAGGCAATGTATCTTAATTAATTTACTAACCTTTCGTAGAGATGGAGTGTTACGGAAACATACTTTCCTTTATTTATTCAATCTATAAACTGTAATGATGTTCTACAACACCTAAGCATTATGGGAGAACCAACTGCTAAGAAAATAAGGATAGATTACCTTTATTGAATCCCCTTTTAGTGCAGCTAATAGAGGAGTTTCACTACCTTATAAAGATGACCTAGGTTGGTATTCATTAAAAACAATAATACATTCTCACTCAAACCCTCTTAAGAAAAATTACATTTTCAGTTATAATCTTGTATTCTCATGAAATTCAGAAAGGCAAACAGGATAATGAACTAGATAATTCCAGGAGTGAATTTATTTCAGCCACTTCTCACAAATCGGTAGTTAGTACATAAAAGTCCGTATTTGGTCATTACTGTCTATGCCAGAATGAACAATACGAGACTAGTAAATTTATTTTCTTCAATCTTATGTAACCATCTTTTTCTCAGTGATTTACTAATATCACACAAAACTGTATTATGAGATGAACAAGGATGCAACAATCATCAAGCAATGTTCAAGCACCTCGTAAAGTTTGACATTCAATACATTTAACAATTTTTCAGCTAAGCGGTAACGTTAGTCTCACTACTACTTTTAAAAAGCTATCTGCGAACGGACTGGCTGCAGTCTACTAGATCTTTCTCAAAATTTAGGGTTCAAAATATATTGCATTTCACTATCAATTCACAAACATAAAAGATATGATACAGCAATTGGGTGTATGGAGTTAGTTGACATTTCTTTCGTGTGCGTAAGCATTCAATCAAAGGATGTGTCAATGACCTGGAGTCGAAGAGACGTATAATTTGCTTCCGGAAATTGACTGTTTATCTGTGTGTATACTGTTCAGATACTGGAATGTCACTATAGAAACAGTCTTACTCAAGAACATAAGTTCTGTATCACCTAATACCAGATACTATCATGTAGATTAGTTTTGTCCCTTTCTGACTCATTTAAGTGCGCTTTCGGAACAAAAGGAAGTATAAAAAGTTGGGAAATCTTTTTTGACATTAGTGGAAAAGTGTGTTTATTCTATATTTCATCCCACAGTGGCTTACAGAAGATTATGAAAAGACATTACTGTTATTCATTACTAGAACGCTTTGTAAAACATTTAGTGACATGTACAATTTGTTTGTTTGCACTCCGTCCTTAAGATCGTCGTGTTTCTCATGTGCCCTTGGATGCTGTTGCTCTGGCCAAGCAGAAGAGGATTCGAGTACCAAAATATTTGTATGCTAAACGACCAAGTTTAGGAAAATTTGTTGACCATTCAGGTAGACTTCATTGTTCGACAGATTTAAATATTCGACAAGCTATGGTTGAAGATCCTGTGCGTCGTCGATCTCTGTTCACTAGCATAATAGGCGGTCCACCATGTGGTCAGATATCACTAAGGCGAATGCGTGGTTTACGATTATCACCAAGCTACATCAACGTCGGGGTATTACCATACGGATCAATTCGTAAATTTTCAGTCAAGCTGATTAATTGGGGTCCAGAAACTTCATACTTCCAAATCAAGCAGCTTCCTATTCACAGTGGTGTACGTGCCTTCTACACACCTGGGCCAATTCCTGCAGGTTAGTTTCAAGAAAATGCAATTATGGTTGGCTGAATTATGAGTAGTATCCAAAAATATCAAGTTAGCTTACAAATGTTGACAATTCGAATGATCCAAACTAATGACACCGTTATTATCCTTAGGCTTATGGTCCCAAATAAAGGCATCGTGCCATTTCATATAAACCGAGAAATCCCATTCCTTGGACTAATCCACTATTTTTTACCTGATTCACTTTAGTCCACGTACCCACATATAGAAGTTCTTAGACCACACAAGTGAAAGTTGATAAAAAGTTGGTTTCTAGCACAACTTGCATGTCGCATGGTGATCATGTATATACTCAGTTTCTGAGTACATTCAGAAGCGTATCGACCAAATAATCTGACAAATCTGCTGATATGACTAACTTGAGATTGAAGGTAACTTAGTTTATTACCACACGGTTGTAGGTAGTTGGAAAGATAGTGCAAAAAAATATCTTTAGTTTCTGTTTTTCATCATTATAGCATTTTAGAGAAGAGATTTTTTGCTGAACGTGTCTAAGTTTGTTTGCTTCAGCGTATAACCGATGTCCATGTCGTTCAGTATTATTTTCTTTGTCTTGAACTGCTTGAGTAACAAGCGACTACGCACTTACAAATAGGAAGTGCATGCAGACTATGTTCATATTTACTAACAGTTAAGGTAGCTTTGCATTTTATTCTCCTGTTAACCAACCTCGGTCCTTTGATGCTGATTACCTTAATAATTTTTCGCAACTTTTAATTTTCTTCAGGATTATATCGTCAGTTAACGATAGAAGTATCAAACCAGACTAAAAACAAGTTGGAAATTCTTTCAGATAACCCGAATAACGGTGATTGTTACAGTCATCAAGATGAACAACACCAGTCGGAATATCATAATGAATTCAAGAAAGCCAGTCAACCATATATAAAATGGAATGTCGATGAAAATCTTCAGGATGGCTTAAAGGATCACGAAAACACTATTTATAACAATAATGCTGATGATGAGAAGGATTTATGCCTAAATAACGAAGTTCATATATTTTCAGAACAGTTACAAATAACAACTGATACGCACATAATGTATTTGTCAATAACAGGTCGTCGGATCAATCCAACAAAACACTCAGTGATGAATGTTAACGAAGAGATTATTAAGCCTAAAATTATTTCTCCTTTAATATCATGAAAATGAAATGATTATTTAAAACAAAAAACATGAAGAAAAAGTGGTTTGGCCAATAACAGATTTTTGTTGACGAACTAATTAAGAAGTAATAATTCAAATATATATCTTCTACCAAACTTTAGTAATCTTTGTTTCATGTCTCCGCACCAATAAAAGAGTTTTTGAGTGACTCTGAAGGCCACTATAACTGCTTCTGAAGCAGTTGATTAGTTTACTATATTTTATGGATATTATCTACTTATCCAGACAAAGAAGAAATTTAAGTGTTTATTTCAGTGATCTCTTAAATGGCCTTTAGAGTGAATCAACTTTTTCAGATAAAATCTAGCTGAACGGTTTGTTATAAGTGGAAACATGAGTTTGAGGGACAAAATATCAAACAGCTTGAAAATATTTTGTATCATAAACCGATTGTGACGAAGAAATTTATTCAAAACTGACAGCTGTCATGAAGCACAAGACCCTTTAGAACCTCCAAACTGTAAGCTTTAAAAAACTCGTCTGATTAGTGCAAACAAACAATGAAGATATATGCAGCTGACACAAAAACGTTAGAACTCAGTGTTGTTTGGAAACTTGTCATACAGGTCAGACTTACTCAATAATAAAAAAGTCTAGGCGTTTGCAACCATCTGAATTGTGATGGAATGAGTGGAATGATATTTTTCTGCAAAATCGTAGAAATTTTGTTGGTTTCGTCACTTATATGGTTCCTCAGTGAACCACAACTATTTCGTTAGAGATTTGTGTTTTGTGTTCATATGTATGGTTTGGCTTGTAATTCTATTAACTGGTAAAATGCTACAGGCTAGCATCGCACTTGCGTTCACTGGTAAATTAAATGCGACTAACAGCGAATTGTGTTTCTGTTTCTCTGTTCTTTAAATTGTTAATGATTTGACAAACTAACTAAGGGAGTGTGAATAAGCACCAGACATCAGTGTATTGAGTGTGACCAGAAACTTGGACTATGCTTTATTTTCGCACCAATCAGAAAGTAAATAAAAGCTTTAGTATGCTTCAAATTACAAAGTATTGCGTACATTTCAATGAATAAAAATTACGGATGAATTTCCATAAGTGCAAGACTGAAGTTGCTACCTGTGTGCAAGAAAAACGATACCTTAGATTTTAAAATAAAACAGGCATTACTCGATTTGTTTTTTGATAGAAAACAAGCAGTAAAACAGTATTATTTACGTGATGACTTTTCATGCATGAATTATTGTTCATTATCAAATCAATGTAATCACACTCATCTCGCCACCTGATATTCTTTGTTTTTATTGCTATTTAATACTTTCAATATCTCTGGTATAGGTATTGCTTCCTTTTGATTACATGTGTTATGTGTAGATTTGGTAAACAAAGGATATGGAGGTGGAGAAACGACTAGTTTTGATGTAGCAAGTCTTTATACTGAAATACCAATCAAGATGGCATTGGAGACAAACAGAAATCAACTAAATACTTACTCAAAACTTATTCATTGAACAAAGAAATCGGTTAATGAAATCATATTAGGCGTACATTTGTGCTTGACGTCCACTCTCTTCAAGTTTCAAGTACAAAAATATACCTGTGTAGACAAACAGAAGTAGCGGAAATGGGATCGCCAATATCTCCAATCCTAGCAGATATATTTATGGATAGTTGGGTAGACATGGCTTTGCGATTGCATAACCCTGCACCTAAGACACTGTTGCGATGTGTGGATGACTCATCTACTGTGTAGACTTCGGAACATATAGACAATTTCCTCATACACATAAACTCAGAAGTAGTCGCAATCCAATTTACTTACGAGGTAGAAAATGAACAAGGAGAATTACCTACGTTGAAATGAAGAATAAAACAAAGGACAGATGGTTGTTTAGACACTAGCATCTGCAGGAAACCGACACATCCTAACAGGTATCTAGACTTCTGGTTAGAGCTAAAAGTCTCACTAGTCGTTGTAAGGACTTAAATGAAACACGTAAAGGAAGTGTTAATAATTATCCTCTACTGTTTAGCAAGAAATTTATGCGGACGCAAGAAACGAAATAATAACAGTAATACAAATATGAATAATAGCAAAAACATAAATAAGTTTAGACCTGTAGCGTGTTATCATACAAGGAAGGAACAACAGAAACTTTACGTAGGATTCTCAACAAGACTGGAATTAGGGTGGCATTTAAACCCAAATACTCACCCAGAGATAAACTATGCCGAATCGAGGATCCGATACATGTAATTAAACAAAATAATCTAATCTACTAAATTCCATGCAATGACTGCAAGGTCAATACATAAGTCAAACTAGCCAGTCGGGGTCATTTAGAATAGTGGAACGTAGGAATGAAGCTAAATATGGAATAACAGACCCCATTTAGGTCAATATTCTAGGAAAACACTCGACAATTGCAATGCATGTATCGACACATAACCACATAATACGGTGGGATAAAACTATTGTAACTTAGTCTAATATGGAGAGAGATTGATCACTGGAGCTTTTTGCATCGAATCAACTACCACCCAACACATGTAATCGAAATGACACAATACCCATACCAGAGATATTGGAAAACTTTACCACCGACAAAAACAAAGAATACCAGGTAGAAAAACTATAAAAGTCACATTTCGAAATGAGTGTGATTACATTGATATGATAACGAACAATAATTCATGCGCGAAATGTCATCGAGTAAATAATACTGTTTTACTGTGCGCTTTATATCAGATAAGTAAATCTAATATAGAATTACACTCAACCATAGTGCCGAGGTTTAACACTTTTATTGATAAGACTGACATTATTTTTTCTTATATCAACTGATCATTATCAGCTGCTTTAAACTGTAGAAGACTGTTGCAGAGCCTTTAGTATCAATTCTTTGTAGAAGTGGATAAAATGTGCTACTGACCTCAATGATCAACATCACCATCGTGAATATAGAGGAGAAAGTGAACCGTTCTTCATAACCAAGTAGATCTCATTTCGAGGTCAGGATAATTTTCAAAATCTCATCTGAAGTAATAATGCAGTAGACTTCTCACCGTTTTCAGTAGTCCTACAGAGTTTATAAGACGTTGACTTCATATGCTATTTACCTTGTCCCAAATTATCTGATCTAATCGAACATTACGGGATATTAAGTACTGTGAAGTGTAACAGGCTGTGTATTCAGGTCACCTATTATTGCTTGTTATTTCCGATTGATTGGTATATTAAACCGAACTGCTGATCATATACCGGTATATGATTTACCTGGACGGATGAATTGGCATTGCATCAAGTTTCGTTTTACCAATTTTTGCTTAGTGGTAGCTAGCAGAAAATGATACGATGTATCCACTATTATTTAGACTGTATGGTAGTTAACTACAAAATTTACAGTTCATTGTGAAAACTATTTTCTCAGGAATCTATTTGTAACATAACTTTATATCTCATTTAAAATTATTAGTTATTACCTATCTCATTCATGACTACTAATCGCTCGGCTTCCTTGTACAGTAGCATTTACACCTTCCAATACGTCTGCAGAGTCGAATGTAGCATTTTTGAGGTCTACGAAGTAGCAGAATCAGATCAATTTTGCCCACTATTATGAATAATAGGTAACTAGTGTGAGTCGATAAAAGCTTATGTCCGTTGCACAAGAGGTAACTCTAGAGACTCAGTGGCTTGGTGGATAAATCTCCTTCTTTTGCAGCAATGGTTACTAGGTTTGAGCCTCATTGACGACTTCATCACTCACTGTTACTAAGGCACACCAAACTGGCAGCTCCTAAATGAAAATAAATGTGTGTTTCGGGTTCCTCTGCTACTCTCTAAGAAGCAAACAGATAGAGAAAACCAACGTAGACTCTCCCACACAAGTGCATCGTTTCACGTTGTCCCGCTTTACAGTAGAATACAAAAGGCAAGTAGATAGGAAGGACATTTATTAAAGTAGGTAGATATATAAGGGTAGTGGAAACTTAAAAATTAGACTTAGTCAAGACACTAAAGATTTAGAAGACATCAAACGGTGGAAATATCTTCGCTAATGTGATCGACTTTCAACCACATAACTAAGAGTCCTCAGTGGTCGATAACCGTCATCTCTGGGTCCCCAACTAGGAGGTTTGCATTTTCCTACACAGCTCAGAACTTTCATTGGAGTGCTTACTGATTCAGTCAACAGTCTATTTATTAAGTGAGTTGACTAAGCTTAACTTGACATCTTGATTCTGAAATATCATGACTGAATAGAAGGGATAAAGGTTATTTAAAGAAGACTGGTAATTTCTAAATACAATGATAAATAATTCAAGAAAAAAGTTGTAAACAACTTCCTACTGGTAAATTGCGCTAAAGTGTCATAGCCAAGGGGACCAATAACAAATGGTTTTAGCCAATACACTCACAAAGGCAAACAGTTAGTTTTTCCCTGGTTGATTAAACTACCTGAACCTGGTCCGGGTAGTAAAGAATGATAACTGCATTTGAAAAAATTCCCAAGTCACATAGCTTATTCAACTCAGCTGTGGATCTATAGTTCGAAGGCTGCTCGCTCAATGCATACTGCAACCAAGAATTTGATTCGACTGCGATTCACAATATTGTCCTTAAGTTTGAGTACAATACTAAATTTATTCTAACACTAATCCATGGTTTATTCCATTTACCTGACAACTTTCTTTCCCTACCTTTGATAAACATGATATTTCTTGGTCGATGACGATGTAAGATTTGTAGCACATTTTTCGAATACCCTTTTCTATGAAAGTTAATTACCGTATAATTCTATTTTCTTGAAAGTGTTACGTTACTGTAAATGCGCTTCATTGAATAACCTGAATTCACATGAATCTTTCTGATTATTCTTTGAAGTGTACACGGGAAGATTAATTTTTCATTTTCAGTAATTGATTGACTGACTTATTTTTTTAATCACATATGAAAAAGTAAAAACATTCTAGTACTACATGAATTATTTGTTTCCTGTCGTTTACATTTTACT